TCAACAGTCAGGGTGAGGGCTGATCAAGTCACCGTTTCTCATGGTGTTCATTTCACTTTAACAGGTTTCCTCTTTGGTGCTCAGTTAGTTGTCACCTATCAAGGAGAACAAGTGGTATTTGTCAAAGGGGCAAATATCTCTTAATTTTCATGTATGTGAGAGGTCTCTTTCCAGGAACCTAATAGTGGGTTGTATCTAAGCTTTTACAACAGATGGCAATTGATACCTGATCCTCAAAGTCTGTGAGGATACTTGTGTTCTTCTTTCTTTTTTAAGATTTGTTTATTTATTTGAAAGGCAGAGTTTCAGATAGGCAGAGGCAGAGAGAGAGAGAGAGAGAGGTCTTCCATTCACTGGTTCACTCCCCAAATGGCTGCATCAGCCGGAATTGTGCCCATCCGAAGCCAGGAGCCAGGAGCTTCTTCTGGGTCTCCCATGCAGGTGCAGGGGCCCAAGCAATTAGGCTATCTTCTACTGCTTTCCAAGACCATAGCAAAGAGCTGGATTGGAAGTGGAGTACCGGGACTTGAACTGGCGCCCATATAGGATGCTGGCACTGCAGGCGGTGGCTTTACCTGCTACACCATATTGCAGTCCCTCTTATACTCTTCTTATAGCTCGCTGTGGCTCACTCTTAAACTTTTCTTTATTTCTAAACATGTAAACACTTCTTTCCCAACAATTTCTTATTTCTTTGACCTCCATAACTGTCATTTAATTACATGTCAGTTGTAACTTGATGTGAACATGTCCCCAGAAGAACATATCTGTGTTATGCCTGGATATTTGTTATACCAGAGTTCAAGATACTGCCTGTGCTGGTCATGTTTGTTGGGGAGGTGTGATGGGGAGGGGCATTCATCCCCTTTTACCAGATCATCTGAGTATGTAGTTTGAGGTGCAGTTCTCTGAGGGAAACCAGTGGGCGACTAGAACTAACTCAGATGTAGGACTTGTCATTCCAGGAGCTTTAGCTGGGAAACCTGGAAGGCAACTGTGCACTAGCTCACAACCCTCAAGTAAGGCTGAGCCCTTAAGGCTGTAGAGGAAAGGGAGAAATAACAAGGAATAACAGCATTGCTATTGGATGTCTCTGTACACAATGTATATATTCTACTGTCCCTTTAGCCCCAACAATTTTCAGTAAGAAATTGATCCTCAGATAAAAACCCTGTCTTGTTTTGCTTTTTGAAAACAATGATAATGTGGCAGAATAATCTGGAAGGATGGCCACCCACTTTTTAATTTCAAATTTGAAAGGGAGAGGTGGAGAGAGACAGAGGCAGAGAGTTCCCATCCACTGATTCACTCCCCAAATATCTGCAACAGCTGGGGCTGGGCCAGGCAGAAATAACTGGGTGGCAGGGATCTAAATAACTGAACCATCAGTTGATGCCTCTAAGGCTACACATTAACAGGAAGACAGAAATTAGAAGCAGACCTGGAATTTGAGCCCAGGCACTCTTTTATGTCATCCATATATGCCAGATGACACCCCAATCCTATGCAAATACCCATTCCCACAAAGCATGCTTTAATTTCAGTAGGAGCACACCTGAACTGAAATAAGAGCAACAGTGGAAGCATAATAAGTAGAAGCAATATAAGCATAATAACTGAACTGTGAGCCAAAGATAGCGTCTCATTGCTGAGCAGTCATCATGAACGTCAAGTCCAAGGAACACAGAGCACACCGGGCATCCCGTCTTTCAGACAGGACAAGGCAGTACGTTCAGTTACATGTGCTTGTCCTTTCTGCCTCTGTGAGTCCCTTCTTCACGAGTTCCTAGAATTCTGTCCTTTATTTTAAGAACCCCTTATCACAGCTAATGTCGTGCAGATATGCTAAACTGGAGCATTATTGAATGATGACACAAGAATGTATTCAGCATACATTTTTTGAGCACCTGGTGTTCACATGGTAGACTACCCTGGCACTCAAGGGTAAACAATGAGAAAATCCAAGTCCCTGAAATGCAGAGATTGTAGGGGTGATAGTGTAAATAGATTATCTGAATTTTCACAATTATATGAAATGTTCTGTGATAGGAGAGACAACATGGCACAATGGCACAGAGGAAGAACACCACATTAGGTCACCAGAGTGGGAACACAGGAGAACTTTAAGAGGAACAGAGACAAGCAAATAACCCAAATAGAGTGTAGAAGTGATGGTGTTCAAAGACGTCTGGACCATGTGCAAAGTCAAGAGATAATCCGTCCAAGTGGCAGAAGGGCAAGAAGCTTGTGCCACCCGACAGAGTCCTTGCTTATAGTTAGCTGGAAAGGAGTTCTGAAAATACTGAGCTCCTCCTCAAGAAAACTTTTCCTTCTATTTCATAAACAGTATAAATGTGAGGCTGCAACTTATACATCATTGCAGCCATCACCCCAGACCTTGTTGAGAAACCATAACGGAAACAAATGAAGATGCATGTTTCATGCTTCACAGCTAGCTGTCACAGCTACCACACTCTTCCTCTGTGAAAACTTCCAACGTCTCTGACAGCATTAAACCGTCGCATCCTGTAGTGGACCTGTTTCATTTCCTGCATTATTTTCAGTTTCAGTATGGTATTTAATATTTTTATTTACTTATTTTTAGAGTTTATTTTTTATTTATTTGACAGGCAGAGTTACAGAGAGAGAGAAAGACACAGAGCAATTGTCCATCTACTAGTTCATTCCCCAAATGCCCACAATGGCTGGGGCTAGGCCAGGCTGAAATCAGTAGCCAGGAGCTTCTTCTGGATCTCCCACATGGGTATAGGGGCTCCAGAACTTGGGCCAACTTTTGCTGCTTTTCCCAGGTGCATTAGCAGGCAGCTGAATATAAAGTGTACCAGCAGGGACTCAAACTGGCACCCATATGGGATGCTGGCATTTCAGATGGCGGCTCAACCTGCAATGCCACAGTCCCAGCCTTATTATTAAATCAGTAATAAATGTATCTTATAGCCAATGTGGAAAGTGATAAGAACATGTGACATGTGGAGTCTTCATCATACCTGTCTCACCTCACTGTCCAAGCCCAACTTCCATTTTGACCATAGTTATTCATTTATTGTGCTTCTTTCCTGAGTTGCATAATAATATCCGTATATATTTATATTTTCTAAATTAGCAACAATACTCAATGCTTGGATATTTTCCTCTTTTTTTCCTTTGTAAAAAATCTTGGATACTTTCTTATATTACTGCAAATAAAGCTTCTCCTTTCATTTTAGTGATTATAGAGTCTTACTCTGTCTGCATGTCCCATGATTTACATTGCCAATACCTTCTGGATAGATAACTGTTTCCAATTTTCTGCCACTTTACAATGTTGTAACATATAGCCTCATGGATGTGTTATTTGACACATGAGCAATTAAATCTATGACACAACTTCCAAGTGGGTCAAAGACACATGTCTCACACTTTGATATATAATTGTACCAAGTCTCACTCTCAATACCAAATATAAGAGATTTCTTGTTGCCCCAAATTCGTGTTAACCTAGGATAAAAAAACTCTCACCAGCAACCATAATATCTTCTTCCTTAATGATTTCCAGTAAATAAAGTACCTCTCAGCTTTATTTTGTGTGTCTCTTACTATTATTGGAGTTGAACACCTTTAAATTCATACATATTTGTCTAACTTTTGAGTGGTATTTTCCTTTTTTTAATTTTTATTTATTTGACAGGTAGAGCTACAGACAGTGAGAGAGAGAGACAGAGAGACAGAGAGAAAGGTCTTCCTTCCATTGGTTCACTCCCCAAATGGCCGCCACGGCCAGCACTGCACTGATCTGAAGCAAGGAGCCAGGTGCTTCTTCCTGGTCTTCCATGTGGGTGCAGTGGCCCAAGCACTTGGGCCATCCTCCACTGCCGTCCCGGGCCACAGCAGAGAGCTGGACTGGAAGAGGAGCAACCAGGACTGGAACCTGGCACCCATATGGGATGCTGGCACTGCAGGCGGAGGATTAACCAAGTGAGCCACAGCGCCAGCCCTCCTTTTTTTCTTAAACATTTACTAATTTATTTGAGAAGCAGAGAGGGATGGTAGGTGGGAGAAAGAAAGAGAGAGAGAGAGAGGCCTCAAATGGCTACAATAGTCACTTGGACCCAGGTTGAAGCCAAGAGCCAGCAATTTCATCTCAGTCCCTCATGAAGATTACAGGGACCTATGTACCTGGGCCATCATCTGGTGCCTCACAGATGTATTAACAGAAACTGAATCAGAAGCAGAGGCAGGATTTGATCTCAGGCACTCTGATAAAGGATGTGGCAACCTCTGCACCACAACAGCTGCCCCAATGGAATTTTTCTTTATGTCACTGATTTGAAGAATTGTTATGGTTTATTTTGATTTTGTGACATAAAATCTATTCCTTACATTGCTATTTGTCTTTTTGCTTATGTTTTTCTATGGAGAATGTCTAGTGGTTGAATTTATCATTACATTCATCTATGCATTTCCTTTATGAGACAGTTAGAATGGGCCTCTTCCCAAATTATTATTTTTGGATTGTAATTTTTCATGTGTGTACTTTCATTCATCTGATATTTCTTTGGTGTATAAGAAGGACGCCAGCTTTGTTTCTCTCATACTAGCTGAATGGTTCACATTACTGTACTAATGTGCAATGTGAAATTTATCATGTTTGGAGTTTCTTCATGACTTTGTATTGCCATTGACCTTTCCAAGTCTGTATTATTGCCATTTCAATATTCAGGTGTCACTGTGGTATATGCCGCAATGATTTAGTGTCTGCTTAGGGCCAGTCTCCTCTCTGTGATCATCTTTTTTTTTATTTTTATTTTTTTTCAGATTTCCACTGGGTACTTTCCTGTGGCCTTGCCATAAAAACATCAAAGTAAACCTATCTTCTTCTAACCATTCACATATTTATTTGAGATACATTAAATGTACATATTGATTTCAAGAGAATGAACATTTTTATTTCTGTCCATTAAAATTTTTTTTATCAGCATAAAATTACTCAACTCAATGGGTTATTGTAAGAGTTTTTTTTCTTTTTTATTTAGTAAATATAAATTTTCAAAGTACAGTTAATGGATTACAATGGCTTCCCCCCATAATTTCCCTCCCACTCACACCCCTCCCATCTCCCACTTCTTCTCCCATTCCATTCATATCAAGATTCATTTTCAATTATCTTTATATAATTCTTCAACAAAAATATTTTTAACAACAGTAATATTTAAAATTTTAATTTTACATACTTGATTTTGCACTTTACATACTCATACTTCTCATTGACAACATTTACAAGTTTTAATTGTATTACAAATTCAGTCTTTAATTTCACTATATATTTAAACTCATTTCCCATCACTTAATTTGCTCATTGTTAAGTTTGTCTTTTGTATGTCAGACCATGATATATCAGGTAATCAATCTTATTTGAGAACTTCTTTAAAAAAGAACTTCCGGGTCACAGAACAATAAAAGAAGACTCACTCCCAGTTTCTTAACAGGAATTCTGAGCCTATTTCATTTGTGTGCTCAACATTTTCACCCACATACCAACGATCTTACCAGGACCCGGCGCCTCGGAGATTAACACATTGCCAATGCCATCAACAAGCCGCGCAGCCCACGAGCGATCTCCTTCTCTTTTAGTTGTAGCTATCTTCTCTTTTAGTTGTGTTATCTCTGTGTTCAACTCCTCAGATTTCCTTTTAAACCCTTCATTAAGCAGGTCTTCTTGGATCTAGAGGAGGAAGTGTTGAGGACAAGTATTGAGTGTGGGGAGGGAGAGTGTACACGGTTCACAGCTTCCTATGATCTCAGGAGAGTGGCTGGCGCTCGGGGAAGCCAGGCTGGAGAATGGTTCCCAGAACACGTCTCTGGCCCCCCAGACTCACCTTCAGCTTGTGCTCCAGCATCCTCTCCTGTTCTCTGAGGAGGTCCTTCCTTTCCTGCTCCATCTTCTCCTTCAACTGGGTGATGTTCTCCTGGTAGCTTCTGTTTTGAGCCTCCAATTTTTGCTGATGCTCCTTCTCCCTCTGTCTTAGCAGTTCCTGCTCCTTCTCAGCTGCCTCCCTCTTGGCCTGCTCAGCTGCTCCACAGAGGTTTCAGAGAGGGAAGAAAAAAAAGTCACTCCTGATTTCTGCCTTCCTGAGCTCAGAGCAAGACTGGTTTTGAGGAGCGGTGGGAAGTGTCTCAGTTCACCTGGTCATCACAGCATTCAGAGCACCTTTCACAAGGTCATCTGACTGCCTGATGTACATATACTCCTCCCTTTGCTGCTGTCAGATTTAACAGAATTTCCATCGATCAAAGAAGAGGAGCTGCAGGTTCTGGGAAGGTTTCCTGCCAGCTCTGTAGGAAGGCTTAGCAGGCCCCTCCCCACTTCTGAGAGCTGAGCCCTGTCCCCGTACCTGCTAAGGCCTTCTCCCCAGCGCTGAGGGCTGTGTCTGCCTGCAGGATGGAGCTTTCCACTACTACCTGCGACTGCAGGAAGCTCTGCAGCACCTCGTTTGCCTGAGGAAACAAGAGGGAGCAGAAAAATCATGGCCTCAAAGACCCAGTTGCATAAAAGCCACAAATCTGACCCTATGAAGTCTGCTCTTTTAGCTTCTTTTTAAGGTCCTCAATGCTTCTGTTTCTTCTACAACCACAGTATACATTCCAAGGTCTTCTGTGGGACATGCAAACCTTGCACAGTCTCCTCCTTCCCAGGTCTCCAGTGCCCTTTTGAGAAAATTGTTCCACTCCCCACTCTAGGTTACAGCCACCCAGATTTATGTGCATCTCAAAAACCATAACTGCTGTTGCTTTATATATTTGTTTAAAAAGCCCTGAGATCACTTACTCTACACTCTCACAAAAAAAAATACTGTGGTTGGATATTTAGAAGGACAGCAAAGTCCCCATAACTTTACTATGCTCTGTAACCCTCTGCTTCCATTCATTGCTCACCTTGACTCCTTTCCTGGGCACCAGCTTATAGTTCTGTTCAACCTTTCTCTTTGCTTCTAGATAGAGACTGTGTCCTCCAGAAACAGAGAAAGCCCCTCTAGAAATACTTTCCATTAGGGACTCTGAGAGCTGCTTAAGCTCAGCCTGGCAATATTTCTCAGATGCCTCTTCATTCTGAAGCAAGAATTCTCCCTTCTTCTTCTCTATGGTTTCCTGCCAGGAAAATGCATAGAAACAGAGAAGGAAGACATCGTTAGAAGGAAGTCCCAACTGTGACGCTCTTGGAAGAATCACTCTAGTGGCCTCAGAGTGGACTGGGACACAGAAAGAACAAGAAGTCAGGAGATTTGTTTCAGATGTACTTCTGGCCAATGTTCTGGTAACCGTGGGAAGCCTCTCACTCTCTTAGGTGGCAGGCTCACTCTAAAATGATGGAGCTGGACTCGTGGCATGTATGGCTCTTCAGTAGTATTCTCCTTATCAGTGATCCAACATTCAAATCATCAAGAAAACTGACTGTGACTGAGAGTAGGATTTCCTCAGAGGATTTGTGTAGAGTTGGATTAAAATACACACATGAAAAAGCAAACCACCCAATAATGACTTACGTCTTCTCCATATAGTGTTTGGGATCTCTCATTAATTTTTCCAATGATCATTTGAGATTATAAAGATATAGAAAAGGAAATGTTTGATTGCACTTGTGACAATGATAGGGACTGGATTCTGCCAACAACCTGATAGAGTTCTGAGGTTCCCCAGAGCCTGCAGATGAGAACACAGCTGGGCTGACTTCTTGCTTTCAGCTTCATGATGTCCAGCTTCCTGGTTCTGGACCTCCGACCTAGAGCACCATGAGCTAACGCATGCTGGCTTTTGTAAACTGCTAAATTTATGATGATTTTTTTTTTTGCAGCAATGGAACATTAATTCAGTGGTCATCTTTCAGATAAATACTGTAGCAGCAAGCTGTGGAACTCTGTCATTCACAAAAATCCAGGCTACTTGTATTACAAACAAGAGATGAAACAGAGGGTCAAAGAGTAGGCTTTAAGCATCATTTCAGAAGGACTGGAATCAGAAACAATAAAAATAAGAAACAATAAAAAAAAAATAAGAAACAATACCATAAGCTGCTTCTGGAATTCCCGATTATCATCCTTGAAGGAGTGCTCCATGAAGACTGCAACAGCTTCCCTCTCACAGGTTGTGTGCACGTCCAGCAGCTCCTGGAGCGTGTCTGTGGGGAACCTCGCTCGTTGGGCCATCTGTGCACTATAGTGGTCAGTAGCCTTCTGCACGGCTGCAGAATTCTCAAGCTGGGCCAGAGTTGTTACCGCATTTTCCAAACAAGGAACTGCTCCACTACTGATGGCATCCACATAGGTCTCCACCAGTGTCCCCAACCCTGAATGAGACGAGTAATTTAAGAATAAATACCAAGCTACCACTTGCTTTTAAAACAGGATTTATAAATGAGATTTCTGAAAATCATCAAAACTCTATTCAACATCCAACCTGCTGTTCTTTTAAGAAAATTTCTGCCCCTTCTAGTAACATTATTATTTTTCACAGTCATTATTTGTTCTGTGCTTTTAATTATTCAGTTTGAGTCACTTATAACCACAAATATGATCAGGCATTTCTCATATGCAACTTTTGGTATAAACTTAAAAAGGGGTAGAATAGAAAGGAAAAGTAAAATTTCCATATAGAAAAATAATCAAAAATTTCAAAAAAGTGACACAGAACATGATACCAAGATGTGCAGCTCTTCACAGTAGCAGGACACTACCTGACTGTGTTGGTGGAAAATAGTGAAACCATCTCTGTACCTAAAATACTATTGAATTTTGACCTCAACCTCTTAATTACCTTTCAAGAACTCTGCACCTGCTATTTATTTTACAAGTAGTATAAATTCACAAAATAATCTTTTCTATGCATTTGGAGAAGGATTTATACCACAAGACTTCACCTCAAACATACATACTCTCTTTTTTTAACAATGCTTTGAGTTTACATGGTAAGTGGAGGTAGTTTCTTAAGTTATATTCAGTCTCAATAAACCCTCAGGTATAGAGACAACAGTTAGGAAAATAATTTTTTACAAATAGCATGAACAATTTTTTGCTGATATTCATATTAACTGCAAAACATATTACTGACCAACCCAGAGAATAATCAAACCTTCACCTCACAGCTGCATGAATAAAACAGAGCGGTGCTTTGGAGCAAAGATGACTCACGCTTGCCGGTGACATGGATTCCATCTTTCAGAATCTTGGGGTTTGCATAGGTGAAGATATAGGAACAGAAGTTTTCAGATTGCTCCTGGAAGTTAGGGTCCAGCTGGTCTTCTGCCACATCCTCAATATGGACCAAGAGTTCTTTTTCTTTTGTAGGTCGGTCAAAGGTAAAACACTTCCGCTTTGGGAAGAAATGTCTAATACACTCCCTAACCAAGTTGGAGTTTTGGATTTTAGGATTCCTGCCTGTAAAAGTGAAAAACAAAAACCATTCACGGAGTCCACAATCTTCAGGAGGGGCTGATACTCATCGTCCTTCATCTGTACTTTTTTAATTTGATTGCCTAATACCACATTGCATTCAACCTTGTGCCAGTTTTTTAAGGCACAGACAATTCCATTTCCACTCAGAGGTCAAAGGAAAGGATATGATTCTAGAGAGCAAGAGTGGAGAGGGGTAGATGTTCTATTTGTTTTCCTTAATGCTTGTATGGACTCCCATGGATTAAGTCTTCACCAAATGTTTACTGAATGGTCAGTTAGTGGAACAAAAGGATGAGAAGCAGTTTTCTGATCCTACTGTGTCTCTGTCAGAAACCACAAAGTGGCTTCCCATTTAAGTGACTCCAGTAAAAGACAAGATGTTGCTGAAAAATTGTCTGAAGGACAGACAATGCCAGAGAATCTTTTACATGACACTAAAGAGACATGGTGACTCATGGTTTGAAAGAGAAGTGAAGTGAAAACACTTCCCTATCTTTTTAATACATCAGACTTGACAGAGACTTATAGCATGATCTGATAGCACACAATAGGTGTTAAATAAGTGTTTTTTAATATAATAAATAACCAAATAAATAAAAAATTATATTAGTGACTTTGCAATATGTAATCCATTTAGCAAGTTTACAATAATAAAATGACAAATTATCGTGTAAGTCTGCAGAATGAAGAGAGTGATGCCCCGAGAAAGGGAAAATGGAAGATGTGACAGTTATGTTGGAAAAATATGTCAAAGTTTTTTCTTAACTATTGACTGTATAAGATTCCTTTTTCTGAAGGATATAACTAGCCAACTACTAGAGGATTGTATTGTGTTAAATATGCTTTGAAAAATAGATCCCCTCATTTCATACAATTCCTTGATAATCAACTTTGATTTTGCTAAGCTGTTTGTTTCCATACAGCAAAGGAGAAGCACTTAATATACAGCACAATGTGTGGGACTTAGGATATCATTGCACATATTCTACTCTGGATAATTTTTGCAATATTAATTGGTCTAAAATTATTTGGCCTGATATTGTGATGCTGTTTTCCTGAATGAGGAGCTTGGGATTTACAAGCTATAGTGAAAACCAATCACTTTTCAATAATTACCAGTTACCATTAGCATAGACATCAATCCAATATCAAATAAATACATGTGTCAGAGGACAAATGCCAGGATTTGGTTTACCCAACCTCTTCCTGAAACATCCAGTCTCCAAGCCATGTTGAGATACCTGGAATAAGCTTCAAAGCATTCTCCAGGTACTCGTCTTCTGTGATGGGACGTCCATCTAACTTCAGCTCCAGCATGAAATCCCGCACACACCAAACAAAGTCTGGAAAGAAACTCACAAATTCATCCGAGTCGTCTATTTCATCAGCTCTCAAAGTGGATTTTGTCCTAATTATCTCTGTTAGTTCAGCCACATAGCTGAGATCTTAGCTAAGGATAAAGAATTACTCTGTAGCACGATTTTCACATCTCACTTACAAACCAGTTTATAAGCATTTATTTTTGTCCTGTGTCCCACTTCCTCAACTGGGACAATTCTGTCACTAGGAAGAAAAAATGTTCTCAGCTATCATTCCACTAAACTCAGTGAAAGATGGAGCATAGTTTCTGGAAGGATACTGCAGCTGCTCCAGGGCCTGGTGGTTGATGGTGCCCAGGCTGTTGTAGACAAAGGTGCTGCTCAGAAGCACGGCCAGGGCAAAGATCCAGGAGTCATTCTTAGAGTCTCCCTGGGAAGCAAATGAGAACAAGGGACTTAGGAGTTTACTCTTCATTCATTCATTCTATTCTTTAGTCACTAATTTTGCTGAAAATAGCTGAAGACTAGGATCCAAACTTCACTTTTTTTTTTTTTTTTTTTTTTTACAGGCAGAGTGGACAGTGAGAGAGAGAGACAGAGAGAAAGGTCTTCCTTTGCCATTGGTTCACCCTCCAATGGCCGCCGCAGCCGGCGCGCTGTGGCCAGCGCACCGCGCTGATCCGATGGCAGGAGCCAGGAGCCAGGTGCTTTTCCTGGTCTCCCATGGGGTGCAGGGCCCAAGCACCTGGGCCATCCTCCGCTGCACTCCCTGGCCACAGCAGAGAGCTGGCCTGGAAGAGGGGCAACCGGGACAGAATCCGGTGCCCCAACCGGGACTAGAACCCGGTGTGCCGGCGCCGCTAGGCGGAGGATTAGCCTAGTGAGCCGCGGCGCCGGCCCAAACTTCACTTTTGATATTAACTTTGGTCCCTCACAAACATGTCTCCTTAGATATTATTAGAAATGTATAACATTGGCCAGCACCATGGCTCAATAGGCTAATCCTCTGCCTGCAGTGCCGGCACCCAGGGTTCTAGTCCCCGTCGGGGCGCCGGATTCTGTCCCGGTTGCTCCTCTTCCAGTCCACCTCTCTGCTGTGGACCGGGAGTGCAGTGGAGGATGGCCCAAGTGCTTGGGCCCTGCACCCGCATGGGAGACTAGGAGAAGCACCTGGCTCCTGGCTTCGGATTGGTGTGGTGCGCCGGCCGCAGTGGCCATTGGGGGGTGAACCAATGGAAAAGGAAGACATTTCTTTCTGTCTCTCTCTCTCACACTGTCCACTCTGCCTGTCAAAAAAAAAAAAAAAAAGTATGACATTGTCAATGTGTATATCTTGTTTAATACACTGCCTAGACGTAGTAGGAATAAGATAATATTTGGAAATCATTTCATTAGCAAAATTTTATGAATAGTAGCCATATTAGGGACAATAATAATTCAACAGCTATTCATTGGATATCTGCAAAATACAAAATACCACAATGAGCTACTTGCAAACAAAGTTCCACGTGACAGTCTACAGTGGCAGATACACATAACATATCAATGTAACCTAAATGATAATCTCTTCCAGGAGTAGAATGAGATGTTATATAAAGGAAGATGAGTAATTTTTTTTTTTATCTTTTATTTAATGAATATAAATTTCCAAAGTACGACTCATGGGTTACAATGGCTTCCCCCCCCATACCGTCCCTCCCACCAACAACCCTCCCCTTTCCCACTCCCTCTCCCCTTCCATTCACATCAAGATTCATTTTCGATTATCTTAATATACAGAAGATCAGCTTAGTATACCTTAAGTAAGGATTTCAACAGTTTGCTCCCACACAGAAACATAAAGTGAAAAATAATAGATGATTTTTTTAAAATGATGATGAAATCAGATCAGACCTATTGTCATGTTTAATCCCAGTGAGAGTCAAGTTGGGAATTGAAAATTTCTTTCCTTTTTTTTTTTTTTTTTTTTTTTTTTTTTTTTTTCTACAAGAAAGATCAGTTTAGTGTACATTAAGTAAAGATTTCAGTCGTTTGCACCCCCATAGAAACACAAAGTGAAATATACTGTTTGAATACTCGTTATAGCATTAAGCCTCAGTGTACAGCACGTTAAGGACCGAGATCCTACATGAGGAGTAAGTGCACAGTGACTCCTGTTGTTGACTTTACCAATTGACACTCCTGTTTATGGCATCAGTAATCTCCCTATGCACCAGTTATGAGTTTCCAAGGCTATGGAAGCCCCTTGAGTTCTCCGACTCTTATCTTGTTTAGACACGGTCATAGTCAAAGTGGAGGTTCTCTCCTCCCTTCAGAGAAAGGCACCTCCCTCTTTGAAGACCTGTTCTTTCCACTGGGATCTCACTCACAGAGATCTTTTTGCCAGAGTGTCTTGGCTTTCCATGCCTGAAATACGGAAGATGAGTAATTTTAACAAATGGGAACAAGTGTTTTGCTTATAGCCAAGACATGATGTGGATTGGATGTGATCATTGTAGCTCAAGACAGCAACAGTCTAAAGATGTGATATAATGTATAATTTTAGTGTTCACACAAGTGAAAAAACAATACTTTACAATTCAGAGACACTATATGGTATAGGCCATATAAATGTAAAATTATTACATTTGACTGAAAAATGGAAGTTATGCAAGAATGAAAGCTGAGGCTGTAAATGAGATTCAGGGCAAGATGTGACGGCCCGTGAAGGTCAGGCACACAGTCATGCTGCCCAAATTACAGCACAATTTGTAAAGTCAGAGAGTCGTTCTACTGACAACAGCAGTTTACATGATGGCTGGTTTTGTTACCTTGGACGTATATACTGTGTGGATTTTATGATTACTAGAATTGATACTGAAGGTAGGAAACCTTTTCATATATTTATTTTTTTACCCCTCAAAATATTCAGTTTTCCAATTAAGATAAAGATAAGCAGGACTTAGGGCAAATAGCATTTCTACAAGAGTCTACCTAAGAACTTTAAACCTAAGCACAAAATTTCCAAACTCTCTTTTTTTTTTTTTTCACAATGATGGAGTATAAAGTCTACTGCTGCTACTTTCAAGTTAAGCTCAAAATAATGTAAAGTAAGAGGGAGAAATGATCCATTGTAGTCAAAACTGTAAGGACAAAAATGCCTACAACCATCCTATTTAAATGGTTTTGGTGGCTCAAGATCATGTTGTGATATCAGAAAACCGATTTCTCCAAAACCCAGATACTTGGACCAAAATTTCTGGGAACATTCTTGCTTCAGTGAAGCATCTCTAGAGACTATGCAAATAGGTGATTGCACTGAACCGCATTTTCACAGCTCCCAATTCCAACCCCATCACACTTACACACTTGAATTGGGAACTGCCTGCTGTGGTTGAATCCCATCCCACCATTTCCTCCCCAAAAAGACTGGAATCTTCATCCCAATCCTTCCCCCATGTGATTGTAGAGGGAGATAGAATATCTACAGAGGGAATGAAGTACAAATGAGTTTATCACAGTGGGCTCTAATCCAATAGCACTTGTGTTCTTAGAAAAAGGAAGAAATTTAGACACAAAGATAAACATATACATAGGGAGACTACTAATTAAAGTTGAAAGCAATGATCAGTGTAACACATTCTCAAGTCAAGGAATGCCAAAGAGTGTCAGAAAACCAGGAAACTCTAGGGCAGAGCATAGCAAAAATTGTCCCTCTCAGTCCTTAGAAGGAAACAACCTGTCAGCATCTTTATCTTTGACTTGTAGCTTCCAGGAGTGTGAGACAATACATGCCTGTTGTTTAGTCACCCAGATTGTGGTACCTTGTTACATCAGCCCTGGGACATGAAATCCGTCCTGTTAGCCTCAAAGGTCCCAGTTTAGATGTCACTTCTCTGAACAAATATGACTAGGTCAGGTGCCTAGTTCTGTGCATTCAATGTGCCTTGTATTGATCACACTGTGTATCTGTTGGTGCCTGAACTTTGAGTCTTTACTTGCTTATTGCAGTATCTGTAGTATGTAATACAGGGCCTGGAACTCAGCTCCTCAGTAAATATTTATTAAATTATATAATTAACAAAGGTGAAAAAATAAAAATATATTATCAAAAGATACCAAAACATTTGAATTTGCCAGGGCAGTAGTTCAAGGAAAACAGAATCCATCCCGGGATTTGCAATAATGGGAAATAAATCACAGAATTTGAATTAAGGTGGAAAATTAAATGTTAAGTACAGAAGCAAGACAAATGAAGATTCACAGAGGGATCTCCGACTTACCTTTTCCACATCCCCCAGGCCCTCAGTGTCTAGAAGGACTAAGGTGAATTTTGGCTGGGAAGGATGGGGCACACACCACATCCAGATGCCCTTGGTTTCAGACTTCACTGTAGTTCCCAAATGAAAGCCTACAAGGAAAGAGGAGAAAGCAACATGCCTGTGTGTAGATTCTAAGAAGGCAATACACTGAGGTTCAACCCTGCATGGAGCGAAGCTAAAGATGTGAAATATTAAAATGGAATAAAAGTGGCTGCATGAACCTCATAGACAAAAGTATTAACAAGATCATGGATAAATTCTCTACAGCTCAGTAAGAAGCAAATGAGATGATCTAATTTTTTAAAAGACTCAAATAGGGCTTTAATGAAGTAGGAAGCACAAATGGCAACTTGTGGAAATATGCTTAGCCTTATTTATGACAAGGGACGTGATATGCAATTAGGCAGTCATCACATCAGCAAAAATTTTAAATCTTACATTGCTGAATCTTTGTGAAGAGTAGTGAATTCTCCATTGCCATTAATAAGCATGAAAATCTTAAAAGCATTTTGACTTTATCTGGAAACACTGAACATACCCTATGACACAAATGCCCTATGACAGAGCAATTCCTCTTCTGACAGATAAAAGGCAAGTATAAGTAAGACAGCCTTTTTTGTAAAAGTTGAACACTGGAAATAAACCTCTGCTCACCATAAAAAGTGAATAATTATGGTATGCTTATATAATGACATTCTAAAAAAAATGTTGAAAACAAGTCACTTAATGATAAATACGGCAAAATGGATGGATCTTATAAATTTCTTTTGAGTAAAATTAGGAAGAATCATTAGCATACATGCCATGTATGTAATTATGTAAATTCAAAGAAAACATACAATATGGGGACAATTCAAATAGTTCGTAGAAAATTGAATTAAAAGATAATTTTATGGGGCTGGTGCTGTGGTGTATTAGGCTAAGCCTTCGCCTGCAGCACTGGCATCCAATGTGGGTGCTGGCTCGTGTCCTGGCTGCTCTTCTTCCAATCCCGCTCTCTGCTTGTGGACTGGGAAAGCAGTGGAAGATGGCCCAAATGCTTGGACCCCTATACCTGTGTGGGAGACCCAGAAGAAGATCCTGGCTCCTGGCTTCAGATAGGCCCAGCTCCAGCCACTGCAACCATTTGGGGAGTGAACCTGTGGATGGAAGACCTTTCTCTCCATCTCTCTCTCTCTCTAAGTCTGCCTCTCAAATAAATAAATAAAAAAGATAATTTCATGATGCACAATTTTTTGAAATCCATGCATAATTTCTCATCATATGCATTTTTCACAAACTTTTTGAGGGCCCTTCAATATACATGCCATATAAATACATATAAATTGCATACTATTCCCTTTAGGTAAATCTTAAAAGGAGTTCAATCTAAACTTTTCCTTATAGATGCATACATAGATTATAGAGCAAGTTAGCAAGTTGTGGAAACCAGTGGCAGAAGTATAATGAAAATCAAAACACTAAGGAACATTCAGAAGTTGTAAAATGGTGTGATTTAAGTGTTTGATGTTCTTAGTTTTATTTCTTGACTTGGTCAATAATTAAGTAAAAGTTCCCTATATTTACTATCTTATTGTTCATTGTATTTTGTTAATTCTTTATGTATTCTATTTCATATATTTGAAAAGGCTAGGAAAGAGAGGGAGATGAATATAACTTATTAATATTTTACTTTGAACATGAAGCAGAAAAATCAAAAAGTAGTTCCATTGAGTTATGGGATAAACAACAAATCCTTAATCGTTCTCTCCATTGCCCTCTTGCACTCTTTTTCATTACTTCCATTCCTGCCTCCATTTTTAAAAAGAAGACACACTGAACTACATTTTTATGCTGCTTGAAATGACTACAATTTTAGTAAACCTGATGTGGGAAAAAGCAGTGGAGCTTTTTAAGCAGGAGAGAAGGGATTGTATCCAGAAGCCCACTGGAGTGAACATTAGACAGGCTGGGATAACTCTTCTTTGTTTTAAGCCTTATTTACTTATTTGAGGGGTTGAATTACAGACAGAGCGAGAGAGACAGAGAGATGACTTCCATCCACTGGTTCACTCCTCAGATGGCCGCAATGGCCAAAGCTGAGCCCATCTGAAGCCAGAAGCCAGGAGCTTCTTCAGGGTCTCCCATGTAGGCGGGCCATCTTCTACTGCTTTCCCAATCCTTTAGCTGGGAGCTGGATCAGAAGTGGAGCAGCTGCCGGCGCTGTGGCTCAATAGGCTAATCCTCCGCCTTGCGGCGCCGGCACACGGGGTTCTAGTCCCCGTCGGGGCGCCGGATTCTGTCCCGGTTGCCCCTCTTCCAGGCCAGCTCTCTGCTGTGGCCCGGGAGTGCAGTGGAGGATGGTCCAAGTCCTTGGGCCCTGCACCCCATGGGAGACCAGGAGAAGCACCTGGCTCCCGGCTTCGGATTGGCACAGTGTGCCGGCTGCAGTGCGCTGGCCGCAGCGGCCATTGGAGGGTGAACCTCTCTCTCACTGTCCACTCTGTCTGTCAAAAATAAAAAAAATAAATAAATAAAAAAAGAAGTGGAGCAGCTGGGACTCGAACCAGCACCCATATAGGATGCATGCCGTAGTGCAGGTGGAGGCTTAACCTGCTACATCATAGTGCCAGTCCTGGAGTACCTATTCTTTATCATTTGAGTGAAAAGTGACAGATGGATTTGAAACTCTAAATTTGATGAAAAAAGTAATAATCAATCATGGATATTTTTATCCCTTAGGAGGACTCAGAATCTTCCTGTAGATGACCCTAGAGTGAGCAAATCAGTTTGCATTACCAATAGTTCTAAGAAAATGACCCCAGCCCTAGGACAACACTCACCATGATTCTCCCCTGCAAGGCGGTTCATGAGGTAGGATTTTCCTGTACGATACATTCCCACAATGGCCACCACCACCACAGGCTGAGATATCTGGTTAAGAATCTCCAGTGCTTTGGGATTCACCATCAACTGCCCGTCCTGGTTTTCCACTATACACATGGGAGCCTCCATGTTGACTCTAGATGCCATGGTAACCTGTAAATCCAAAAGAACTCAGTAGACTATACTAGGCCAAAGCCTTCTCCAAGAGTATGCATGTCAACTTCCTGTTTATGGAATATATTTATCAACTTCTTACCATCTGTACAACTGTAAAGGGAAAGTATGTGACCTTCTAGTGACAGAAGGGAGCTCTTGTCCTCCAGCAAGTCCATCATCTCTCATGATGTTAACGAATGACAGGCAAGTGGGTTTTATTTGACCCTAATAATTCATTGCTCTAAATATAAAATCCTAAGTAATAAATCTATCTGTGATCTAAGCTCTCATCATGGTGTCTTAGTCATACCTTATTTTTGAACTTAAAAGAGCTCTAGAGATTAAATAATTTTATTCTTTCTTATCAGATGTAATAAGAGCATGTAGATATACTGAATGATTGCTTAAAGCTTCATCAGTTAGTGGAGAAGTAGGAATTGAGCATCAATCTCTCTGCCTCACTGTACAATCTGCTACAAAAAAGTATCAAAATCAGCTTCCTCAAATAAACATTCTTTCTTTCTAACTGATGAATTTTCACAAAGAAACATCAAAGGTTCTCTAGTGACCAATCCCATAAGACATCATCATAAATGTATAATGTGATCTAAATTGATTACATTAACTATGCTGTGTCATAATAAAAACCACTGCCAGACTAACTTATTAATTTATCAGTTAAATTTGCATGTCTAATAGGAAACTTCACTTCATCCTAAATTTTGTGAAAGGCATGACCTTGAGATTCAGTCTTATTTATAATCTTTATGCTTTATTCATTATATATATATAATGAACTTGATACTATCTCAATTTTGTGGATAGAAAGAATATAAAATATGTGTTCAATGTGTCTTAGAATTCATACGAATTAGAATTCAGTTCAGTTGTGACAGAAAACTGTTGTTTAATAAAAAAAAATAAATTTTATTCCCCTCCATCACTAAATTTGAAAGGGCAAAACACATGGCTCTGCCTCAGAAAGTCACCAGGACACACTGGCTCCTTTTATTATCTGCTTTGCCACTTTAACAAGCTGCCCCCTGGCTCAAGGTGGCCGACCATCACAGACACCTTCCATTCAGCAGAAGAGATTAGGTCTCCCTGTGTAAGTACATTTTCTAGATGATTTATTATGCATAATCATGGCTCACATTCCATTTGAGATGTTTTCATATGACTTTGTTCAGAGGATGCTTAAACAAATAGAAGCAGCAAAGCAAAAGCCAGAAGATAAAGATATCAGAATACTAATATTGGGGCACAGACAAAATGCAAATTGTGGAGACTGAGAAGGTTCCAGGATTTCTAGGAGAAGTATGTCATGCTAGCCTAAGAAGAGTTGACATTAAAAAGAAGATGGGGTCAACAGACTCACTATGTGGAGAGAGTTCATAAAGAACTATACATATATTTATCAATCTTCATCCATTTCATAAATATCTATTGGGTATCTGCCATGCCCTGCACTGTGCTAGGTGCTCATGTATGGCAGTAAACAAAATGCACACAAATTTCTCCCTCATGGAACTTTTAGTGTGACTCCACACACGAAATTTGTGGAGTCAAACATGAGCCTTTAGCTGCTGGCACAAACAGCAAACATTATAGAGTTTCTTTCTTTGATATAAGGTTTAAGAGAGCCTACAAAGTTTGATTTTTTTTATTTAAAAATTTTTTTACTGATTTTAAGGTAGAAATGAGACATCCAAGCCAAGAAATATTCTACTCCACGTGGAGTAAGTGGAACGAAGTAAAATGAGGTCGTGTAGACCATCAGTGGTTTCCAAAAACTGCTCTCCACAAGAGTCCTCTGCAGTGAGGTTACAAGCCTCAGGCTCTCCATCTCCCACAAGTACTGCGGGTCACTTTGATGCCATGCTTCTTGCATGGCCTGCACATTTGAAACAACTTAAGATAAACAAGTAGTTAGATAGTATAGATATGTTAAAGAATTGATTAGTTAGGGTGGATTATTTCACTTACGGATAGATTTTTTAAACAATTTTTAAACAAATTTCATGTATTTCATATATACAGATTTAGGAGCGTAGAGAAACTGCCCACCCTGCCCTTCCTCCTGCCCATGCTCCCACCCATCTCCTCCTTTCTTGTTTTTTCTTTTAATTTTTAAAATGACATGCTTTCAGTTTATTTTATAATCATAAGACTGACCCTCCACTAAGTAAAAGTTCAACAGTAAGAAAAAAACACTGTTACTTAACAGTGGAGACAAGGGCTGCAAACAATAATCACTTCGCAAAATGTCAATTTCGCACCAAAATAAACGAGAGTCAGTCTCCGAGGCTTTGTATTGTCTGAGTGATGATCTTCTGCCTTGTCTACTGCCGCCAGTGCACAGAAGGGGACAGCCAGGAAAGGTCTGAGAACAGGACAAGAGAGGAAAAAGTGACCCCACAGCAGTGCCTCTGCCAGGAGCTGGATTTGGGCAGCTCCCTCCCAGAACAGATTCAGCCGCTTTGCTGGGAGGAAGGCAGGAGGCGCCCCTCCGCGTCCCCAGCAGAGATCTGTGTTGCTGCTCCAGGTGCAAACCCTGAGAGGAGCAGAGCAACCCTGAGACACCAGGCGCTTGGAGCCGCCTTGGACCCTGCGGCTTCGCTGAGCCCGGGGAGAAAGCGCCCGTCTTCTTCACCCAGGGGCCCCTTGAGGTTCTCCCGCTGCCCCCGCGCCCACCGCCCGCGCCAGGGCTACGAGGGGATTCGCGGCGGTCATGGTCAGTGAACCAAGAGTCGTCGCGCACTCACCGGGCCAGGGCGCCGCAGTCAAGGCCAAGTTCGCTGCCCGCGGTCTGGTCCTGAGTTGTCTGCTTGGAAACCCACTGTTAAGCTGAAAAATAAAGCAGATTTAACTACCCAAAAAAGGTCTGAGAGGAGAACCGAAACTGAAACCGCACTCCATTCTTGGCTAACTGTTCGAGTGTTTGCACGAGTTGCACGCGTGAAGGAAGTGGGTTTGTGTTTTGTGTCGCTGGTAAAGTCCTCGGCTCCCCGCCAGTTTCTGAACCGCCGCGCCCGCGCCCTCTCCTCACAGATAGAACCATGTCCCCTTACCACTCAGCCTCACCACTCAGCGTCACTTCAGTCAGGTAAAAGGTTCCCTGTGAGTGCCCACTGCAGACCCTCTAAGTTCCTTGAAAAGGGAAATCAGCGATTTGGGGCGTGAGAATTATCTTTCCGTTCTTTGGATGTCAAAGCGTTCACAAAATCAAACTTGACAGAGTTCTGTGTTTGAGGTGGAGGGGAGCTGTCCATTGATGCTGCATCACACAGGAGAGCAGCATCCGGCCCAGATGTGAGCACCCCGCTCTTTGTGCTCGGGTTCTCTGGACAAGCTGCCATTGTAAGGAAATCACTGCAGGTATGGTCACTCCCCAATACTGATTAGTCCAAGCCTCTTGTATCTGGACACTAAATCAGCAGTGTCTACCTCTCACTCACCTGCACTGCCCTACAGGTCTCCAGTAGACATGGTACAAATGGAGCTGTAGGGTGCTACACTTACACATCAAAACACCAGCCTGTGTATTCTGGAAATAGAAAGTGACTCAATCTTCTGCCAATTTGATCCCTCCCTGTTCTCTCTTTTCCTTGTATTTACTATAAGGTTTGCGGATGAAAAAAAACTGTACTTGGCGTGATATGAACTAACTGTGATTTGACCTCTATTGATGAATTCTCTGGTCCTGGGTAGTTTAGCCTCTCCCTCCACCCACCCCTCTCAAGTAAATAAATAAAATCAGTGAGAGAGAGAGAGAGAGAGAGAGAGAGAAGAGAGAAGAGAGAAGAGAGAGTGAAAAAAGGAAGAGTGTGAGGAAATATGAAAAGGTAGAGAATAAATGCCATGAATTAGCCAGGATCCACTGAAGCCAATGGGCTCATTGAGAATGAGGCTGAAGGCCTACTTGTGACCTGCACCAAGGTTTTTATTCCAGGGGCGGGTCAAGTGAGCTCATGTAGGAGCTGTGGCTGCAGTTTAGAAGAACATACACTTGCGTCCCGGCTTGAGTGGAAGGAAGTATTGCTCTTCAGGATCATTCGGGGACTCAGCTGCCTTGCAACCTGCTGTTCTGTACACACTAAATCAGAAGATTCATCTGCAAGCTCAAAGCTCGACTGCTGCCACAGCTGTGATGCAGATAGGAACAAAGAAAAGAGGAATGCATAGGCTATGGGCTCAAATTTCATCTGGTCTGGACCCAGAAGTGACACACATAGACTTCTGTTCACAGTCATGTGAAACTTAGCACACAGCTACATCAGATTGCAAGAGTAGTTAGAAAAAATAATTTCTAGCTGGGTTGTTATAAAGTCCTTTTATAGAATGCAGTCATGCAATATTTAGATGGGAAAACTCTTTTATAACTACAACAGAATATGCAACAACATTAAATCCAGTCTTTTTTTTTTAAAGTCCTGAAATTGCACTTTGCTATTTTTAAAGGTGAATCCAAGCTGGGCTATGCACAGTGGTCTGTACTGAGCCACAAACATGGGAGTGGCAGGTGGGTGGACTTGGATCCAAGACTAAGTGACAACAATCTTTCTCTCTGGACTGGATCCAAGAAGCCCTTATTATTTTTGTGTTTCAATTTGTTTATCCAGTTGTTAAGAGGTGACTCTAGAGAAGAAGAATCTAAGGCCACTCCCTCCTTTTTTACCACAAGCAAGGGTTTTTTTTTTAATTATTATTATTTGACAATGGAAAAAAGTAAATTTTGAGTCTTTCAGTACCAAGGTTTGCAAACTGCTACAAAGAAAAATATCTTTCAAATTTAGATTCAAGAAGTCTCAGGCACAAGAGACTAACGCTTAGAGGAAGATGTATTGAAAAGTTTTCCCAAAGTGATGGAAGTTAATTAGACTGCGTTTAAACCGACATGAGGTTTGTTCGCACCCTGTTTGTTGCACTCTGGAAAAGACTTAGTAGATTCTATTAGCAATTGTGTTTGTTTTTTTCATTTTTGTATCTTGACAAGTAGTGTACTCAGCTTTGGAGCCTGGTGTTAATAATCGGATACAAAGAGCACTGTTTTTTGAAATCCTGCTGTACAAACTGTTGAAAGATCACAAAACTTGCCTCCACCAGGTGCCTACAGGATCAGAGCAGGAGGGCCAGATTGAGCATCAAGGGATGACACTGCACAGCAGTACTGGGAGAACAGAGATGGTCCATGCCTTCAGTAGGACCCTTGAACTGAGCAACAAGTAATAGAAGCCCATTGTCAGGACAGAAGAAACTCACAAAATAGAAAGGGGTAATGTACCAGTAATGTAGGGACTGCAAAAATTGGGAGTGGAATAACACCACTGGATTTACTGAAAAAAGAGTATAGTTATAGAATTGCACGGGTGAAGTTTGAAGCTTGTGGAACAGTAAAGGTAGTTAAGAACAAACAAAACCCATATTCAATTGAACTACGGCTGCACTGAAGCAACAGTCACCACAAACCTCATAACATAAAAGAGGGGTGCTGATTTCCAAACACAAATATTATGATCACAATCCCAATTGTATTTTTAGCAATGCCCAACATTTGATTAAAAAGACACACAAGATACACAGAAAACTCAAGTAAAAGCTATGCTATCCATTTTGAAAGAAGAAAGCAAGCAACAGAAGCAGAGAGAGAGAAAGTGCTGAAACAATTATGTAAGCCCTCTAAGATCACTATGAATCTTTTGTTAAAGGAGATGGAAAGGTGGCCAACATACATACATAGATATGGATTTTCAGCAGAAAAATGGAAAATAATCAAATGGCCAATTGGAAATTATGTAACTGCCAGGCACAATATCAGTGATAAAAATTGCTTTAATGCGTTTATCAAAAGACTGAACATGTACATAGCCAGGAAAGAATCAGAAGCCTTGAGATATGTCAATAGAAACTAAGCAAACTGAGGCATGAAGGCATTCCAAGAGTGAAGGAATAATAAGTGAGCACAGGACATCCCACAAAACACTGTAGAAAGATTCACCATGAAGTGACTGGAATACTAAAAGAAGAAATGTGAGGGATAGAGAACATAACCGAACAATCTCCAGAATTACTGAAATACAACAAACAATAGACACAGAAATTCAGAGAACCTCAAGCAGAAAAATACAAAGAAAATCACATGTCTGTACAATATTGGCAAAGTGAGAAACATAAATACAAAGACAACATCTTCAAGGCAGCTAGAGAAAAAAAAATTATATGCAGAGAAGCAAAATTAATAATGTGGGCAAATTTTCTGAAATTATGCAAGTTAGAGAAAATAGAAAATATTTACAGAACTGAAAAAAAGATTCAACCCCAAATTCTCTACTCAGTTAAAAAAGGTTTCAAAGTGAATAGAAATATAAGGTTATGCTAAATAAATCTGATAGAAAAATGTTTAGTGAATTCAATATAATCACAGTGAAAATCCCAAAACTGTTGGGTCTATTAAATGATTCTGAAATGTATGTGCAAATATAAATGCAAATGTAAAGCTACTTTTGAAGAAGATGTAGAAGATTTATTGTAACATAAAAAATTTATTAAAAATTTAATAACTACCAGATTGTAATGTTCACACCTGGAAGGGGAAATAGGTCAAAAGAACCAGGGAGGCAGCCCCACAAAGATTCACGTCCAAAATATATAAGAAATTCTTAAATATTAAGAAAAAGAGATAACACAAGAGGAAAAGATTGTCAGTCTTTGCACACACAAAAAAGAAAAAAGAATAGAAAGAAAATATATCAAAAGGTGTTCCACTTGATTTACATGAGGAAAATGAAAATTATTGCCTCAGTGAGATATGCCCACACAGATACCATACTCCAACAATGAAAATTGTTGAGGTAGAGGCCAATCATAATCTGCAGGTGGATACATAAATTGCTTTAGACTGACTTGATGCTAAACCTGATCCAGAAAGACTAAGGACCCACATCCTCCATAACCTAGGAGTCTCCCTTCTGGAGTATCACACAGGGAAATTATACACACAGATGGAAGTATACCTGTTCAAAAATGTTCTCAACATTTCATAAAAGGCAACAACAGTATGAGTCAATTGTTTTTGTCTTCATACAACACTCTCTCTCTCTCTCTCTCTCTCTCTATATATATATATATATATATATATAGCTCAGAGCTCCACACAATGGACGACACAAATTTTATGAATATCACGTTGACAAATGAAACAAAGCACAAAAAGAACACAAACAATGTAATTCCTTTTGTATAAAGTCTGAATGCAGACCAAACTAGATTATATTTCTTAAGACCCACATCATATGTTCTAAAGTCCTAGAAAAGAACTGTGAAAGTTGTGAAATTGACTGGCACTTGCAGGGTTGTCAGATGTTGTAATAAGCACCTTTAGGGTATTAGGAATGATTGAATTTGTGTGCCTGGGTGATGATTTATAAGTTCATTTTAGAATTATACTTATGTATTTCCTTATATATAATACTGTACATATATAATATTGACATTTTATATATCTGAATGTGCTATATTTCATAATTTTAAAAAGTAGAAGGGGATATGATTTATCAAACTATTGCTTTGAAGTGGATCAAGATTATATTGTAAGTGATTGAGGTAGGGAGTCAAGAGACATTTCAAAAGAGTTTTTATTTTCTTAAATATATCTTTTTTATTTTTTACATTTTAACCTTTTACCAATTTAAGTTTTTACATATTATGGTCACTCATATGTGTGTAGTGTATGTATATGAAGTCTGGCTCCAAACCGATCGCTGCCTAAATGACCAATCATTTGTCTCAGTCTATTAAGAAGTCCATTTTCACCCTACACATCCCCCACGCAAACTAACTTTGGGCTTTTTGTTCTGGTTTCTGTGATCTGTCCATTCAAGGATCATTATCGCCCGTTCTCCATTTCTCTTTGGAAAATTCATCATCTATTTTCTCATGTATAATTATTTTCTATTTTATGAAGCTATGCTTGATTTTCATTATTTTAATAAGCACCTCTGAAATTTTTTAAAGATTATTTATTTGAAAGTCACAGTTACCGGGGAGTGGGGTGGAAGGGGAAAGTCCTTTAATCTGTTGATTCCCTTCCCAGATGGCCACAATGGCCAGGGCTGGGCCAGGTCAAACTCAGGAGCTAGGAGCTTCATCCAGGTCTCCATGTGGGTGTTGGGGCCCAAACCCTTAGCCCATCTTCTGGAGCTTTTCCCAGGCCATTAGCAGGAAGCTGAATGAGAAGTGGAGTAGCCAGAATGTGAACCTGATGCCCACATGGGATACAGGTGTAGCAGTCTGTGGCCCCACTCACTATGCCACAAAACTGGCCCCAGCAACTCTGTTAGCATATTATTCAATATTTCAATGTTTTCCTAAGCAAGAAAAGTACTTCTATGACACTATCTTTAAATAAGTTACTTAATGTCAATGCCTCAGAAAAATAACTAGTAGCACTAATAAATATTAATGATCTTATCAATAATTATTACGATAAAATAATAAGAAATGTCCAAGGGATTACGTGAACAATGGATGAATTATTACAGCCACCCCAAATGGCACAGAACAGATGCTGAAGAAATACCAGTGGGCATTGATGCCTATTCAGAGTGTTAATTAATAAAGAAGTTATATTAGCTTCCTATTGCTACCATAACAAAGTACTGCAAACTTAGTGGCTTAAAACAACAGAAGCTTATTCCCTTCAAACTGGAACAATCCCAAGTCTGTGAGGGAAAAATCCAAGTGTCAGCGAGCCTGTTTTCCTCCTGGAGGCTCTAGGAAGGGTCTCTTTGCTTTTCACTATGCTTACAATGTAATCAGTTAATTTCACAGCAGTGAAACCAGAAGAATAGACAAGACTGCATAGTTCTTGGTTAGCTTCAAGGAATGGCCAATGTTTATCTTGCAGTGTGTTTTATGTCCTTTTGCACCTAAGGACAGCTCTCTATCCGATGAGATCAGGGTGACTGGGGAAGAAACGGGGACCAGAGGAGCCAAGAAAAAGGGCATTTATGAGTCACGGGTGACAGCAACATGCTCCACTGAAGGTGCCCAAAGAGGGAGAAGGATCTATTTTTGGTGGGGAGTACATAAATATAAAAAAACAGTATTGGCTTGGGTGTTGGTTTCTTTGTAATATGGTCTAGTTTAACAGCACCAATGAGCAGACCCTTAGGTAAGTGACTTTATTTTGCTAAGTCTCAGGGTTGCAAGAATCTGTTCAAGATAGGCAGCAATATCAGTATCTAATTTGGAGACATAGTGGTCCTTCTCATCCATGAAAAGGATTTCTTGGATGTGAGAATGTATTTTATTCTCTCCTCTATACATTGTATAACTTGCAAAGGTCATTACAAACTATTGCTTGACAAATGCTCAGCTGAATTAGCTGGTACCTGATGAAATGCCGTTCAAGTCTAGACACAGAACTGAGCAGCTCTAGATACTACCTGATGTATGACATCCAGTGCATAAAGCTTCATAGAAAAGAAAAAAGAACAGATATTAAAATTGATCAGCTTTTCTTCTGAAAATATGATATAATACAACTGGAAAAGTCCTTACATAAGTAAAGAGTTAAGAGGACAAAATAGAGTGCTGTGCCACATTTCTACAAAACATTTTACTGAAGGTATATAAAACAGAGACAAACAATAACAACAAAAACAAAAAGCTAAAATAAAATGCACTTTAATTCTAATGTTAAAGCAATTCTTAGTTTCCTTAGAGAAATTTAGAAAGTTTTCCTATACATTTTAAGCTACTAAAAAAAATAAGGCAAATTAACACTGAGTTTTGGTGTTTGAAATGTTTTATGATTACAATGTTGAAAAAGACACAAAATCTATAATTTTAAGAGGGAAAATCAGTGGTTTTTACATATAACTAGAAAGTTAAGATTATTTAATATTGATACTATAGGCAAACATCAAATTAAATTAGCTTCACCAGACTTTATACAGCAGTCTATACACCACTTATTTACCAGCTCTTAAGAATTATAAACAAATTTATTAGGTACTAAATAAATTGGCTCAAATTATCAAGCAGTCTAATTATATTATGCCCTTTTTGAAGGCGAACAAAAAGAAAAGAATTCTTTAGCCTTTAAGCTTACCATACCATCTTCACGTTGTAGTTCCTTTCACCTTCCCCAAGATATCCGTCTCATGAGATCATCACGTGCTTTCAGCCTGCAGTGTCTCTGCACGGGTGACCACTGGCACAGTTGACGAATCACATCAGGGGTCCTGGAACAGTGCTCTCCACCAGGAGAACTCCACATGCCTCTCACTATGTCACTGGTGCTTCCTGCTGATGGCTTCCAGCACATGCCCACAAACAGGAGTGAGGTCCAACAGATCCTAAGATTTGGATCAAGTTCTATTGGACTGAGTCTATGTGGGTAACACCTTCTCCATAACAAAAACGCCCTTCAGAAATGTGGAAGACTTGGCCGGCGCCGTGGCTCAGTAGGCTAATCCTCCGCCTAGCGGCGCCGGCACACCGGGTTCTAGTCCCAGTCGGGGCGCCGGATTCTGTCCCGGTTGCCCCTCTTCCAGGCCAGCTCTCTGCTGTGGCCAGGGAGTGCAGTGGAGGATGGCCCAGGTGCTTGGGCCCTGCACCCCATGGGAGACCAGGAAAAGCACCTGGATCCTGGCTCCTGCCATCGGATCAGCACGGTGCGCTGGCCGCAGCGCGCCGGCCGCGGCGGCCATTGGAGGGTGAACCAACGGCAAAGGAAGACCTTTCTCTCTGTCTCTCTCTCTCACTGTCCACTCTGCCTGTCAAAAAAAAAAAAATTAAATAAAAAAAAAAAAAAGAAAAAAGAAATGTGGAAGACTAGACAGGTGGCACTGGGATGTAAGGGAAAGCTGCTCCTTATGTAGCCCAGTACCACCCCTAAATGAAGGCAGTGATAAAACCACCTTGTTGTATAATTTATAATCTCTTGGAGGAAGTTATCATCATTTGAATTATTGAGATACATGTTTCATCAGTTAGCAGCACCATAACCTTAAAACTTTCTATAAAATTATTTAAGTGTTGACTTCTAAACATATACAGTCTCTTGTTCCTTTATCTCTTTGGTGAAAAGAAAGTTCCAATGTTCATCATTTTCAGGTGAGGTACAATAATGCTGAAAGATCTGGAAGCCATGTGCCACTTCAGTATCTGCTGCGTAAGCCTTCTTTGTTCAGCTTGGAGTTTTGCATTCAGCATTGCAGCCTCCTCCTAAAAAGTGATGAAGAAAAACTATAAGACTTAGCAAAAAGTGAAGTCCACCTTGTTTCTGATGGCCTAAATCACTCCTTCCCCTTCTTTATTCATACCACTAGACAGGCCTCGACTATCTCCCATTCACGTACTTCGAACCCACTCCTGCAATTATCCAACCTCCTTCTCTTTCTCTACCTCCAGAAATATCATCTCTCAATCCATGAAATGCTAAATCCTTAACATTCCCATTCCAAGATTCTCTTTTTCTTTACACCGCACAGTTTACTTGGGCAAATGGTCACTTCGTGACTTGAAATCTCACCCACATACAAGAGAATGGTGGCTATATTTCTAAGAGAAGATGCTCTGGGTGACATGCAGGGTCAATTGAGGTCTGTGCCTTAAATGAGGGAATTTGTTCGTAGTCACCACAGTTTTGGAGGCAGAAGTAGAAAAAAAAGACTGAGATTAAAAAAAAAAAACATAGGTTGCCTATCTTGTCCTTCAAGAAAGAGGTGAAATAAAAAATATCTTAAAGTTCACAATTGATCGTAATGATAGGACTAAGAACCAAAGGGATCACATAAACAAGAATAGTGTCTGCAAATACTAGCTGATAGAATCAAAAAGGGAGAGAATGATCCAACATGGGAAGTGAGATACACAGCAGACCCATAGAATGGCAAATGTCCTAAACAGCACTCTGGCCTCAGAATCAGCCCTTAAGGCATGCAGATCCAGCTGAAAAGCCCATGAGAGTATTTCAGGCATGGAAAGCCAAGACACTCTGGGGAAAAAAAAAACCTAAATGAAAGATCTCCACGAATGAGATCCCAGTGGAAAGAACGGGTCATCAAAGAAGAAGGTACCTTTCTCTGAAGGGAGGAGAGAACTTCCACTTTGACCATGGCCTTGTCTAAATATGATCAGAGTCAGTGAACTCAGGGGGCTTCCATAGCCTTGGCAGCTCATGACAAGAGCCTAGGTTGATTACTGATGCCATAAACAAGAGTGTCAATTTGTTAAGTCAACAATAGGAGTCACTGTGCACTTACTCCTCATGTAGGATCTTTGTCCTTAGTGTGCTGCACATTGAGATTTAATGCTATAACTAGTACTCAAACAGTATTTTTCACTTTATGTTTCTGTGTGGGAGCAAACTGTTGAAATCTTTACTTAATGTATGCTAAACTGATCTTCTGTATATAAAGAGAATCGAAAATGAATCTTGATGTGAATGGAAGGGGAGAGGGAGTGGAAAAGGGGAGGGTTGCGGGTTGGAGGGACGTTATGGGGGGCAAGCCATTGTAATCCATAAGCTGTACTTTGGAAATTTATATTCATTAAATAAAAGTTAAAAAAATTTTAAAAAAATCTTAAAGTAGTCCCTGAGAAACTGGGGGAAGAGTTAGCATGCTGTTTGTCTTAAGAGGGTGCTGGCATAAGAATCTCAAACTAGGTTTGCAAAAGTAGAAAGACTGCAAATCCTACTCATTATCAAAATATCCCAGTAAGTATGACCACTATCTCCTTTTTACACATGAAGAAAACAAGAGGAAATTCATAATATGATTAGCTCTATATGATAGCAATTCAAAAAGCCTGTGGAGAGGGAATTGTAAGATTAGATTATTTGGTGCCAGAAATTTTGGAATCTGTGTATACAAGAAGTCTTCAAAAAGTTTATGGAAAATGTATAGTATTAAGAAATACATGACTTCTGGGGTTGGCGCAGTGGCTCACTTGGATAATCCTCCGCCTGCGGTGCCGACATCCCATATGGGCACTAGCTTCTAGTCCTGGATGCTCCTCTTCCTGTCCAGCTCTCTGCTGTGGCCTGGGAGTGCAGTGGAGGATGGCCCCAGTGCTTGGGCCCCTGCACCTGCGTGGGAGACCTGGAGGAAGCACCTGGCTCCTGGCTTCTGATCGACGTAGCTCTGGCCGTGGTGGCCATTTGGGGGGTGAACCAACGGAAGGAAGACCTTTCTCTCTGTCTTTCTTTCTCACTGCTAACTCTATCTGTCAAATTAAAAAAAAAAAGAGTTTGTAGAAAATTGAATTAAAAGATAAGCTTATAAAAAATACCTGACTTCCTAAACAACTTTGCACCAAAATAAACTCACCTTTTCATTACATTTTCCCATAAACTAATTAAAGTCCACTGATATTGAGTAGGAGGTGAGGCTTGGATATATACCCAGCAGAGTGGCTCCAGAATCCTGGTTCAAAGCCTCCATATTTGATCCCCTGACCCTCCTCCCAGTGGTTGATCATCACAGTGTGGTCACCACACTGGGGAGAGATGGTGAAACCCCGAGATGAAACGACTGATGAGTACCTGGAGCCGGCGCTCCTTGGCCCTCTGCTGTTCTTGCAACATCTGTGCTCTGTTCATCTCCATTTGCCACACCTCTTTCTGGTGGCGCCTCTCCTGCTCCTCCATCAGCCGCTGGTTCTCCCGTTGAATGGCCTTCAACCTTTCTGCTTCAGCCCTTGCAACCTCCGCTTGCCTGCGTGCCTCTGAGGAGAGAGTGGAGAAGGTCAGACCCCTCCAGGATGAACGTGCCCCTTCCCTCTGCCTCCCACATCTCCCTGTTCATTGTCTGACTTCTTTGGGAAAGTCCCCAGGGCCTGTTTCTCCATCCCAGGTAACCAGAATGCACTCCTCATGCCACACTCAGATGTGGCCTGAGAGGCTAAGAAGCATCTTTGCCATTCCCACCACAGTGTAATGATCCCAGGCGAACCAGGCCAAGTTCAAATCCAAATTTGTAGACATTTCTGTTCATCTTGCATTGTTCCCATCCCTTCTCACTTTTCATCTTCTCCTCTCTGGCTGTGAGAGCCTGGTCTGTCTTCAGAATTGTAGCACTCACAGACTCCTTGGACTTTAAATACTTCTGCAGAGCTTCCTCAGCCTAGGAGACCAAAAACATGCAATCAGTCATAGGGAATGGCAACTGCCAATGCTATAAATGGCTCTGTTTCTCTGTCCTTTCAGCTCTCTTCCTCCTAGGAGGTGCTCAACCTGTGCCTGCTGGAACTGTCCACCAAGCTGCTCCTGCCACAAGGTGGACATAACCCCCAACAGGCCTCTTAGAGCACTCAAGGCCACCATATGCAAAGGATTTGTTCACAGGTAGAAAAATACAGCTTCTTGGGTGTTTGGAAAACTGTTATGGATTCTGGGGAAAGATGCTCTTTCTCTCTCCTGAGACTGAGGGCACTAAGGAATAATTAAGTTGGACCTGGCACTGTCAATGCTGTTGCCATGGGGCTAAGTCTGCCTGACAGTGAAGCCAACAGTCAGGAAAAGGGAATAAGTAGTAGGGGTTGGAAACAAAAGCAATAGAAATTGATGACAATGTTTAAATTCTGAACCATATCTACATTTGAAGCAAAATTAAAACCTTTTTATGAGCTTATACAAGCCAATGAATTACTGATTTTTCTAAATTAGTTCAATTATTGGGATTCTGTCCTATGTAACAAAAATACCCCTTTATGGCAATCAATGCTGATGGCTGAGCAGAGGTCTGATGACTATGGTAATGGTTCCATGTAATTCCAGGGATATCATTCAAGTATAAATTTGGTTTTAGGAACACCAGTACCAGGCACATATTTTTCTATGCATGTTCATTTAGTGAAAGAGTAACCTCCGGCAGAGGCAAAAACCTCATCTGTGTACTTACAGTGGTGTCTTTCCTCCTGTCCTCAATGTTTTTTAAACAGCTGCCCCATGCATTTTCCATAATTAATAAATCGAATCAGGGATACCTGTATCCCTTTCCTGGGCTTCTGATAGTACTCTGCCTTCAGCTCTTCTGTCTTCTGAAGGTAGAGATTGTAACCTCCTGGTTTCGAATAAGTCCCCTGCTTCACTGCTTCTTCTAGGGGACCAAAAATATCCTGAAGCAGAGCTGAGCAAAGATCCGATGAGGCTTCCAAGTTCCGTTTACAAAAGGCATCATGCTTTGCATCTAGTAGTGTCTTTAAATGGGAAAAAAAAAAAACCCAAGGGAAGATGTTAGCATTTCTTCAGTGTTTCCAAAAAGAATTTACAGTTTTTTCTAGAAGTACAGAGGAATGCAAGCAAACTATCCATCCCATAAAACGTAGAAAAGTTCCAATGATGATATTCTGTAGAAAAATAGCATTTACTTTATTTTTAAGAAGATTTATTTATTTACTTGAAAGTCAGAGTTACATAGAGAGAGGAGAGGCAGAGAGAGAGAGAAAGGTCTTCCATCTGCTGGTTCACTCCCCAGATGGCTGCAATGGCCAAAGCTGTGCTGATCTGAAGCCAGGAGCCAGGAGCTTCTTCCAGGTCTTCCACATGGGTGCAGGGGCCCGAGGACTTGGGCCATCTTCTACTGTTTTCCCAGGCCATAGCAGAGAGCTGGATCGGAAGAGGAGCAGCCGGGACTAGAACTGACGACAATATGGGATGCCGGGCACTTCAGGCCAGGGCATTACCCCGCTGTGCAACAGCGCCGGCCCTAGCATTTATTTTTGAGTTTGAAATTTCCTGAAACCCCACTCTCTTGTTAGCTTTCCTTTAGAGGTGTTCTTCAGACAACAGACATCTAGTCTCAGGCTGTCATTCTAAATGAAGCCCCATGATTTATATTTCTAGTTTCAATGTTTCACTGGACCTTGGATTTCCATAAGAAAGTGAATAGGCCGGCAGCACAGCTCAATAGGCTAATCCTCCATCTGTGGTGCCAGCACACTGGGTTCTAGTCCTGGTCAGGGTGCCGGATTCTATCCTGGTTGCTCCTCTTCAAGTCCACCTCTCTGCTGTTGCCCGGGAGTGCAGTGGAGGATGGGCCAAGTGCTTGGGCCCTGCACCCGCATGGGAGACCAGGAAAAGCACCGCATGGGAGACCAGGAGAAGCACCTGGCTCCTGGCTTCGGATCAGCAGCAGCCATTGCGGGGTGAACCAACGGAAAAGGAAGACCTTTCTCCCTGTCTCTCTCTCTCTCACTGTCCACTCTTACTGTCCAAAAAAACACACACAAGAAAGTGGAATAGAATAGTTGGCTAGAGTTATATTAATTTACTCTATTAAAATTGGACATATCATATTACACAAGATGCAACTGACAATGCTATAAGATATACTAAAAGTAAGAAAAAGTACTTTGTAAATGCAATTCTTTATAGTCATAAAATTAATTCAAATTTAGTCCATGGGTATAACATGCTAAAGATGTGAAAATAAGAATAGGAATACTTGACCACAAATCCATCCTTGAATCAAACCTGTATCCATCTCTGACCAAAGGTTGATCCACCTGTCTCCAAAGCATTCAGGAAGAAAGAATATCCCCAACCCAACTGTTAAGACCCCCTACTGCCTGTTTAGGGACTTTCCCAGTGCATGCACATGCCAAGAACTGCCCAGTACTACTCTTGGAGAAGTAGTCCTGAGCAACACCATCTCCCTGAGTGTTTCATGTGCCAAACAAGCAACTGCACCTGTGCAGAATGTGGAGCTGGATGCAAACTGAAGTGCCCTGTACTGAGCAAGATTCTCCAGAGACCAAGAGGGCATGGTTATGCCTCCCCAACATGATAACAGTGCTACTCACCTCTCATTTGCAGAGGCATTCAGTAGAACCTGTCTCCACCATGTTGTCTCCATTGTGCTCAGGCATAAGCCCCCTCCCTAGCCCACCATAAAAATCTGTCTGGGTAAAACATTCAAATATAAATTTGGTGCTAGGAACACTCACTTTACAAGTGAGTCAAGAACCTTGAATTATTATCAAAAACTTCAGAATCTACAGGGGCTAGAGTATTACCTGCTTGTTTTCAGAGCAAAAATGATATAATGGAATCATAGGTAAATATCATTTTCAGTCTAGTAGGAATTGATTGTCTTAATTAAGACCTATTTTACCATTCATTCCAATGCTTTGCCTTGGTTTGGAACTTCACAACCATGAAGTAGAACAACAACAAAAATAATTACCTCTAATTCCTTCTGGAACTTTTGGTCCATGTCCTTGAAGGAGTCCTTCATGAAGACTTCGATGGCCTCTCTCTGAGAAGCAGTGTGCAAGTCCAGCAGCTCCTGGAGGGTTTCTGTGGGCAGATGCACCTTCTGGCTCATCTGCTGGTCATAGTGGGCAATGGCCTTTTGTACTGCAGCTGTGTTCTCTACCTGGGCCAAGGTAAGGACTGAGTTCTCAATGCAGGGCAGATCCCCTCTGTTGATGGCATTGACATAGGTCATCACCAGGTTCTCTAGACCTTCACAGGGAGAAAATATACCTGCATTATTTCCAGAGAAAGGGACCATGGTGTGTGTGTGTGTGTGTATAAATTTTACATTTAATTGTCAGAAAATTTTACTATTCTCATCAATATTCAAGTGGCCAAAATAAGTTCCAACAGGAAATTGTGTAATCAAAAGGACAGGTCTTTTTTTCCCTTGAGAAAACAAATAATGTTCAAATAAGGACATGGGAGAAATCTCAAGATCTACAGAATGGTCCACATTTCATTCTCCTCCCATGAAAAAATAGGGAGATAATTATATAACAGCCATCCATATTCATTTCATTAGAATGCCATAGGCCTTGTGTCTTTAATCTTCCCTCTCTTTCCCTCTTCCTCAGTTTTTCAGTCTCTTTAGGATTCATTTTTGTCTTTCACTTTAATGTGTGTTAACTGGTATAAAGGTTTAGCATCCACTGATAAAGTGTGAAGTGAGGCCAGCGCCGAGGCTCAATAGGCTAATCCTCTGCCTGTGGCGCTGGCACCCAGGGTTCTAGTCCTGGTCAGGGCACCAGATTCTGTCCCAGTTGCTCCTCTTCCAGTCCACCTCTCTGCTGTGGCCCGGGAGTGCAGTGGAGGATGGGCCCTGCACCCACATAGGAGACCAGGAGAAGCACCTGGCTCCTGGCTTCAGATCAGCATGGTGCACCGGCCGCAGCGGCCATTGAGGGGTGAACCAACAGAAAAGGAAGACCTTTCTCTCTGTCTCTCTCTCTCTCTAACTGTCCACTCTGCCTGTCAAAAAAAAAAAAAAAAAAAAAAAGAAAAGAAAAGAAAAAGAAAACTGTGAAGTGAGCATTTTATACCCACTTTTCCTTATTGATAATTAGAGCTTTTCTGTTTTTTTTCTTATCATTTGCAGAATTCTGTTTGCACTCAACTTCACTCTATAATTTAACAGTAATTTACAGAATCCTGAGACATAGATTTCTTAGGAAAAATTCGATCAAGAAATCTGTTTAGATTTCTTTGCAGTTCAAGACATTTGGGGTGTTTGTTCAATGTTTGTATCAATCAACTTTCATCTCTGCAGAAAGTATGTATCTCTTGTTCATTACATCAAAGGCAATGATGCATAATAAGAACCAATATATTTGTTGAACAAGTACTGCCAACGCATGTTTGTTAGTGTAGTTAAACAGTGGGTCATTTCTGGGTAAAACATTTTTAACTTGTTCTATCTTCAGCTTATATTCCTGTTTTATGTAACTTTGGAGGCATTAACAAAAACTAAACCTCTAGAAATATGTTTAATATCCATTAAAACTTAATGAATTTAGTATTTGGTTTTCATGGTAGTAATTGCTTATGCATCTGTCAATGCTGGAACTATGAAAGAATCTTGTAAGTGCCCCTTACTCTTGGGGCTGAATGAAGGAAAAATCCCAGAAGTACTCACGAGGTCCATTAACCTTGATACCTCCCGGAAGAGTTTTGATCATGGAATGGCTAAAGATGTAGGAACAGAATTCTTGCATTTGTTGCACAAATTCACATTCCAGCTCATCATCATGCAGTATCTGAAGTTGGGCAAGTTTCTTCTGGTTGGTGGGTAAGTCAAAAATAAAGCATTTCCTTGTTGGGAAGAACTTCTTTATACACTTACGGGGAAAATTGTAAGCCTGAGTTCTTTGATCAGTTCCTGGGGAAGGAAAAATAGGATTTGTTTAGTATAGAATTTACTTTCATTTTGATCTAAATAGCTGAAATAAATGCCTTTTCATCCGATGTTACTTAAAGATAGAAACCTGCCTCACTCCAAACTGACTTTGAGTCTTGCTGGGAGGATTGACAAAGGTCTAGGCCCTCCTGAAGGACTGTGAGGTGCTCCCATCTTCTCAACATATCACAGACTCTGGGAATCAAACTGCCAAGGGGGAGCACCTACAGACAACTGGCTCTGGGAACATCTCTGCTCTCTCCATGGACGGGACAGGTTAGTGGGGCTGAGTAGATCCTCTGTTCCCTGTGACTGTGGGAGCCTTGTGTTCTGTGACTGTGGGAATTCCGTGACTGCATGATAGGCTGTGAGGTGTCACTGGGTTTCTGGGTAGTCACTGTCTCTGACGTCAGAGGCTCAGTGCTCCCTGACAGCATGGGTTGGGTCACTGCAGAGGGTTCTATGCTCACAATGAAGATCACACAAATCCTTTGTTCAGTTCATGCACCAGTGTGGATGGAGGTTTTACCCACTGTGGGCTTACTCTGATCAATGATCACCTGGGAAAAGAGGAGATGAGGTTGTGATGACACCAACAGGTATGATCATACCATTTCTCCTGTTGACATTAGAGGAGATCTATCATGCCCAACTTGGGTGTCACCCTGGATCCTTGCCTTACCCTGGAGTACTGACCACAACTCCCTGGCCACACCTAACACATGCCTCTGGATAGTTATTGAAGATCAAACATTCCACTAAGCCATAGAGGCATAGTGCAAACATAAAATCCCTCAGAGGAGAAAACCAACAGTTATCTCCACAAATGCCTGAAAACAAATGCAGAACTTCAAGAAATAAGAATAAGTAAGACAACCTAACTCCCCCAAAGGAACACAACAACACTTCAATATTTGAATGTGAAAGGAAGAGATTGATAAAATGCCTGAAAAGGAATTAAAAAGAATGATGATAGGATTACTCAGACGCAATGAGAAGCAAATTCATGAGTTAAAGAAATTCATACATGACATGGATGAAACATTTTCCCATGAGATAGACTTTGAAAAGAAATCACATTGAAATATAAGAAATGAAGAATTCAATATGTCAATTAAATAATACAGGGGAAAGCTTTAATAACAGAATTGATGAGGCAGAAGAAAGAATATCCAGATAGAAGACAAACATTTATAAACATCTCAGACCAAAAGAAGCAGAAGCAGGAGCAGGAGAAGGAGAAATTAGAAATATTAAAAACCATGTTAAAGATTTATGGGAAAGTATCAAAAGCCCCAACACATGGGTCTTAGGAGTTCCTGAAGGTGTGGAAACAGCAAATGGATTGGATTAGAAGGCATATTCAGTGAGATAATAACAGAAAACTTCCCTACTTTGGAGATAGAAAGGGACATCCAAGTTCAGGAAACATAAGGAACTCCTCATAGACATGAACAGAAAAGATCTTCACCATGACACATTGTAGTCAAACTTTCAACAGTAAAACATTAAGAAAAGATTCTAAAATGTGCACGAGAGAAATGCAGGATTACTTTCTTTTTTTTTAATTTTCAATTATCTTTATATACAGAGGATCAATTTAGCATATATTAAGTAAAGATTTCCACATTTTGCACCCACACAGAAACACAAAGTATAAAATACTATTTGAGTACTAGTTATAGCATTAATTAAACACCTAAGAGTAATTGTGTATTAATTACAGAGTTCAAACAATAGTTTTAAGTAGAACATAAAATGCAACTTTTGTATTGTTGTGGCTTCCCCCCCAACCCCAGGATTACTTTCAAATGACCTCCAATTGAACTCACAGCTGATTTCTCATCAGAAACCCTACAATTTGGAGAGAATGGAGAGACATAATCCAAGTCTTAAAATACAAATACAATCAACCAAGAATACTGTACTATGCAGAGATCTCATCTATAAATGAAACTGAAATAAAGCCATTCCATAATAAACAGAAATTGAAAGAGTTTTTCATCACTTGTCCAGTCTTACAAATGATGCTACATGATGTGAAACACACAGAAACACATAAAGATAACCATCATTATGAATGAATATGAAGATAGAAAATCTCCCAGAAAAAGCACAAAAGAAATCCAAAGCAAACAATAGGAATATTTATGGGAAAATGGCAGGGCCAGATTGTTACTTATCGATAGTAACTTTGAATGTAAATGGCTTAAATTCTCCAATAAAAAAATATAGACTGGCTGAACTGATTAAAAAACAAGACCCATCTACTTGCTGCCTGCAAAACACTTCACCAACAAAGACACCCACAGACTGAAAGTGAAAGGTTGGAAAAAGATATTGCATGCTAAGGGAAAGCAGAAATGAGCAGGTGTAGCCATCCTAATATCAGACAAAATAGACTTTAACACAAAAACCTCTTAAATGAGACAAAGAAAAGCATTATATAATGATTAAGGAGTCAGTTCAACAGGAAGATGTGACTGTAATAAATGTATATGCATCTAATCCAGGATGCCTGGCAGTTTTAAATAAATGTTAATGGAACTAAAGAGAGACATAAAATCCAATACAATAGTAACAGGGGACAACACCCCCACTTTCATCAGTAGACAGATCAACTAGACAGAAAATCAACAAAGAAGCAACAGAGCTATCTACACTATGGACCAAATTTACCTTACTAATATCTACAGCACATTTTATCCCACAGTTGAAGAATACACATTGTTTTCTTTAGTGCATGAAATTTTCTCTAGGATGTACTATATTCTAGAACATAAAGCAAGTGTCAGCAGATTCAAAATGATTGAAATGATTCCATGTATCTTTACTGACCACAATGGAATGAAGCTGGAAATGAGAAACTTAAGAATCTCTAGAGAATATGCAAATGCAAGGAGACTGATCAACACACTCCTGAATGAACAGTTGGTCATAGAAGAAATCAAAAGGGAAATAAAAAAAATTCCTGGAAACAAAAGAATATGACAATGCAACATATCAAAATGTATGAAATACAGCAAAAACAGTGTTAAAAGAAAAGTTTGTGACAATTAGTGCCTACATCAAGAAATTGGAAAGGTATCAAATAAATGAGCTATCACTCAGCTATCACTGCATCTCAAAGACCTAGAAAACAACAAACCAAAACCAAAATCAGTAGAAGGAAATAATTGAAATTAGAGAATAAATAAACAAAATTGAAACAAAAAATACAAAAGATTAGCAAAATTAAGAGTTGTTTTTTAAAAAAATAAATAAGATGGATACACTATTGGCCTAACTAACCAAAAAAATGAGGAAGAAGATCTAAATTGGTAAAATCAGAGATGAAAAAGGAGATGTAACAGATACCACAGAAACAAAAATAATCATGAGGAATTACTGCAAACAGCCTTTTGCCAAAAAATTGAAATTCCAAAAGAAATGGATACATTCCTGGACATATGTGACCACTAACACTGAGTCATGAAGACTTAGAAAACCTATACAGACCAATAACCATGATGAAAATCAAATCAGTAATACAGACTCTCCCAGCAAAGAAAAGCCCAGGACTGGATGGTTTCACTGCTGAATTCTCCCAGACATTTAAAGAGCTAATTCCAATTCTTCTCAAGCTGTTTAAAAGAATTGAAAGAGAGGGAATCCTCAGACTTCTTCTATGAGGCCTGCATCACCTTAATTTCAAAACCAGAAAAAGATACAACAAAGACAAAGAACTATAGACTAATATTACTGACAAACCTAGATGTAAAAATCCTCAAGAATAGCAGATACTAGACTTGTTTATGTGCTCCCTTTGACTCTTAGTCCTTTCATTATGATCAATTGTGAACTGAAATTGATCACTTGGAATAGTGAGATGGCATTGGCACATGCCACCTTGATGGGATTGAATTGGAATCCCCTAGTATGTTTCCAACTCTACCAATTGGGGCAAGTCAGCCCGAGCATGCCCCAAATTATACATCTCTTCCCTCTCTTATTCCCACTTTTATGTTTAACAGGGATCACATTTCAGTTAATTTTCAACACTTAAGAATAACTGTGTGATAATTACAGAATTAAACCAGTCATATTAAGTAGAACAGACAAAAAAAATACTATGAGGGATAATGTATTAAGTTGTCCATTAGCAGTCAGGGCTATGCTGATCAAGTCACCATTTCTCATAGTGCCCATTGCACTTCAGGAGGTTTCCTTTTTGGTGTTCAGTCAGTTGTCACCGATCAGGGAGAACATATGATATTTGTCCCTTTGGGACTGGCTTACTTCACTCAGCATGATGTGTTCCAGATTCCTCCATTTTGTTGCAAATGACTGGATTTCGTTGTTTCTTACTGCGGTATAGTATTCTAAAGAATACATATCCCATAATTTCTTTATCCAGTCTACCATTGATGGGCATTTAGGTTGGTTCCAGGTCTTGGCTATTGTGAATTGTGCTGCAATAAACATTAGGGTGCAGACCGCTTTTTTCTTTATCAATTTAAATATACTAGCTAACTGAATCTAAAAATACATTAGAAAGATCATTCATGCATGCTAAGTGGGATTCATCCCTGGTGTGCATCATGTTAACAAACTGAAAAATAAAGCCACATGATTATCTCAATCGATACAGAGAAAGCATCTGATAATATACAACATTCTTTCATAATAATAGGTTTAAACAAATTGGGTTAGAAGGAACATTTCCTAATATAATCAAGGCAATTTATGACAAACTCTCAGCCAGCATCATATTGAATGAGAAACATTTCCACTAAGATCTGGAACTAGACAAGGATGCCCACTTTCACAATTGCTATTCAATATACTCCTGGAAGTTTTAGCCAGAGTCATTACAAAAAGAAAATAAAGGAATACAAATTGGGAAGGAAGAAGTCAGATTATCCTTATTTGCAGATGACATGTTCTATATATAGGAGAACCAAAAGACTCCTCTAAGAAACTATCAGAACTTATATGAGAATTTGGTAAAGTACCGATATAAAATTAACACAGAGAAATCAATAGCTTTTGTATACAGAGACGATGCAAATTGCTGAGAAAGAACTTGTAAGATCAGTTCCCTTCAGAATAACTACAAAAAATTCTAAGTAGCTTGGTATAAATTTAATCAAGGAGACCAAAGACCTCTATGAAGAAAAACACAAAACATTAAAGAAAGAAATAGTAGACACTAAAAATGAAAAATCTTCCATGTTCGTGGTTTGGAAGAACGAATATCATCAAAATGTGCATACTATCAAAAGCAGTGTACAGAATCAATGTGATCCCATTCAAAATACCAATGACATTCTTCTCATATATAGAGAAAATGATGCTAAAATTCATATGAAAGTACAAGAGACTCTGAATAGTAAAAGCAATCTTAAACAATAAAAATAAAGCTGGAAGCATCACAATGCCAGATTTCAATACATACCACAGGGCAGTTATAATCAACACAGCCTGATACTGGCACACAAATAGACATGTAGACCAGTGGAACAGAACAGAAACTCCAGAATTCGCTACATGCATCTACAACCAGCTTATCTTTGACAAAGAGCCATAATCAATCCCTGAAGCAAGGACAGTCTCTTCAACAAATGGCGCTGGAAAAACTAGATCTCCACATGCATAAGTATGAAACAAGACCCCCTACCTTACATCTTATACAAAAAATCAACTAAAATAGATCAAGGATCTAAATCCATTACCTTCTATCATCAGATTACCAGAGAAGAACATTGGGGAAACTCTGCAAGATATTGGCATAGGCAAAGACTTCTTGGGAAAGACTCAGAAGCATAGGCAATCAAAATAAAAGATAGACAAATGGGATTACATCAAGCTAGGAAGCTTCGGTACTTGAAAGGAAATGGTCAACAAAATAAAGAGGCAACCAACAGAATGGGAGAAAATATTTGCAAACTATGCAATTGAAAAAGGATTAATATCCAGAACCTAAAATGAGTTCCTGAAACTCAACAATAATACAAAAAAGCAATCCAGATAAGAAATGGGCAAAGGACTTGAACAGGAATTTTTCAAAAAAGGAAGTTCGACTTCGACTTCGACTTGATCAGCCCTTACCCTGACTGTTGATGAGCAACTTGATATGTTATCCCTCTTAGTACTTAATACTTTTGGTTGAATACTGTAATCAATACACAATTCTTCTTAAGTGCTGAAACTTAACTGAAAAGTGATTGCTGTTAAATATAAGAGTGGGAATAAGAGAGGGAAGAGATGTGCAATGCGGGACATGCTCAAGCTGACTTACCTCAAATGGTAGAGTTAGAAACATACCAGGGGATTCGAATTCAATCCCATCAAGGTGGCATGTACCAATGCCATCTCACTAGTCCCAGTGATCAATTTCTGTTCACAATTGATCATAATGATAGGACTAAGAGTCAAAGGGAGCACATAAACAAGAATAGTGTCTGCAAATACTAGCTGATAGAATAAAAAAGGGAGAGAACGATCCAACATGGGAAGTGAGATACACAGCAGACCCATAGAATGGCAGATGTCCTAAACAGCACTCCGGCCTCAGAATAAGCCCTTAAGGCATGCGGATCCAGCTGAAAAGCACATGAGAGTATTTCAGGCATGGAAAGCCAAGGCACTCTGGGGAACAAAAAAAAACCTAAATGAAAGATCTCCGCGAGTGAGATCCCAGTGGAAAGAACGGGTCATCAAAGAAGGAGGTACCTTTCTCTGAAGGGGGGAGAGAACTTGCACTTTGACTATGACCTTGTCTAAATAAGATAAGAGTCGGAGAACTCAAAAGGCTTCCATAGCCTTGGAAGCTCATGACTGGAGCATAGGGAGATTACTGATGCCATAAACAGGAGTGTCAATTTGTTAAGTCAACAACAGGAGTCACTGTGCACTTACTCCTCATGTAGGATCTTTGTCCTTAGTGTGCTGTACATTGTGATTTAATGCTATAACTAGTACTCCAACAGTATTTTTCACTTTATGTTTCTGTGTGGGAGCAAACTGTTGAAATCTTTACTTAATGTATGCTAAACTGATCTTCTGTATATAAAGAGAATCAAAAATGAATCTTTATGTGAATGGAAGGGGAGAGGGAGTGGAAAAGGGGAGGGTTGCGGGTTGGAGGGACGTTATGGGGGGCAAGCCATTGTAATCCATAAGCTGTACTTTGGAAATTTATATTCATTAAATAAAAGTTTTTAAAAAAAGAAAAAAAAGGGAAGTTCAAATGGCCAATAGAAACTTGGATCACTAGCCATGGGAGAAATGCAAATAGAAACCACAAGGAGGTTTCATCTCATCCCAGTTTGAAGGATTCTGAAAGAAAGAAGGAAAGGAAAGGAAAGGAAAGGAAAGGAAAGGAAAGGAAAGGAAAGGAAAGGAAAGGAAAGGAAAGGAAAGAGGAAAGGAAAAGGAAAGGAAAGGAAGGAGAAGGAAAGGGAAGGAAAGGAGAAAGGAAAGGGAAAGGAAAGGAGAAAGGAAAGGAAAGGAAAGGAAAGGAAAGGAAAGGAAGGAAAGGAAAGGAAAGGAAAGGAAGGAAAGGAAAGGAAAGGAAAGGAAAGGAAAGGAAAGGAAAGGACAAGGGAAGGGAAGGGAAGGGAAGGGAAGGAAGGGAAGGGAAGGAAAGAAAAGAAAAGAAGGAAGGGAAGGGAAGGGAAGGGAAGGGAAGGGAAGGGAAGGGAAGGGAAGGGAAGGGAAAGGAAAGAAAGGAAAGGAAAGGAAAGGAAAGGAAAGGAAAGGAAAGGAAAGGAAAGGAAAGGAGGAAGGAAGGAAGGAAGGAAGGAAGGAAGGAAGGAAGGAAGGAAGGAAGGTCAACAAACAATAAATTCTGGTGAGGTTGTAGGGGAAAATGTACCATAATCACTGTTGATAGGAATGTGAACTAGTCCATCCACCATGGAAGACAGTGTGGAGATACCTCAGAAAGCAGAAAATAGATGTGCCATATGGCCCAGCAATCACACTCTTGGGGATTTACCCAAAGGTAATAAAATCAACATATGAAATAGTTATGTATAACCCCATGTTTATTACAGCTCAATTCACAATGGCTTAGATATGGAATCAATCCAGATATTATCCATCTACTGATGACTGGATAAAAAAATTGTAAATACACACACACACACACACAGAGAGTGAGAGAGAGAGAGAGAGAGAGGGAGAGAGAGAGAGGATGGAATATTACTCATCCATAAAAAAGAATGAAATCCTGTCTTTTGCAATAAAATGGATGTAATTGGAAACCACTATACTTAGTGAAATAACCTATTTCCCAAAAGACAAAAACCATTTGTTTTGCCTTTTCTGTGGTAACAGAGTATCAAAAAATATAATGTACATAAATGAAATTAACATTTTGAGAGTTGATGGTTTTTAAAGCCTCATCTCTACAGTTTGGGACCAGTGGTCTTTTTTTTCTTCTTACTATTTGTTGACTTCTTTGTTTAGCATAGGGTTAATCTTATGAGTATAAAATAGGCTGAGAGTAGATCATTGTAAATATTAAAGGAAGGAATGGGAAAGGCAGGAGAAGGGAGAGTGGGAGCATGGATGGGACGGAGGGTAGGTTGGGAAGTATTACTATGATCCTTAATCTGTATATATGAAATGCATAAAATTTGTTTCCCTAAGAAAAATTTAAAAATAAAAAAATCCAAAGAACCAAAAACATCAATACACAAACTTAATGAAGGAAAAGAAAAAAAGAAAAGAAATTTGTTCTAAGTTCAGGGGAGTAATATAGTTTGAAAATCTGTTAATTCATTCTAATTTAATAATATTCATTACTTATTTTATAAAATAAATATTAAAAAACTATATATTTAACCACTGTTCTAATGAGATAATTTCTTGGTTTAATTTTCTATTTCCAAAACTGAAGTCTTAATCACCTTCTTTCAGCTTCAGTGAGTTCTCCAGGTATTCATCTGCTGTGATGAGCTGCCCGTCTGTTTCCAGGCATAGGTAGAAATCTCTGAGAGTCCACACCAGGTCTGGAAAGAAGCTCACAAGGTCAGCAGTGTCTTCAACCTCATCTAGGTCAGGTGACGTTCTGACCTTCAGCAGATCTGTCAGTTCTGTTACATCGCTGACACACAACTAAGGAAAACTGATGGTAACAGGACTGCACCTGAGTCCCATTCAGTCGTCTGTATCCCCAGACTTTGACTTTGATTTTGGCTCTTATACAGTTCCCTCACATTAGTACTTTTATTTGTATTTTCAAAGTTTTTCATTTTTATTTTTGTGACTCATAAGCTCTAACAGATAGCTGGTGGTTCGAGAAGTTCTCTGGCTTTAGTTCCATTATGAACCACAAAAGGATACTTCAGCAGGTCGACAGCCCCCTGGTCAATTTTGTTCATGGTGTTGTATACAAAGACACTACTCACTAGGATCGCCAATGCAAAGATCTGGGTATCATTCTTGTTGTCAACCTAGACATGAGAACAAATTCAAATCATGTTTTAATGACATTCCCAGTTGAGCAGTCATTAAAAGCAAATTCCTGATCTACAAAAGTTAAACAAGACAAATAATAATGAGTGATACATGAACCTTGAAAATTTATTATTTGCATAAAAATTTTACACTGATATATATGTTGTTGACATTGTGTACAAATCAAGGTTGCTTTTTCTCAGTTAAATATTTGTTACATTTGCCTGCGTGCACCTGGAAAAAGCTCATGTATCTACTGTTTAAATAATGTATTGGATAAGACAAAAAAGAAGGAGATTATAAGAGCCAGAGACCTGATTTGAACACAGGTTTATCTGACCAAGAACCCACCATTAATCAGTATTCTCTGCAGAGTCAGAGGTCCAGTACTGGTTTCATTTTTCATGATCTTTATGCATCTGAAATAACTGCCTAGCTCAATATCAGTGCTGTTCTCTCAATACTTTTAGCTCAAAAGTATATGATTTTTTAGCTGAAAGGTATATTTTATTACTTCAAGCTTCCAAATTATATTAAAAATGGGAATGAAAGAAGGAGTATAGCCTGGAGAAGAGGTGAGTGTCATAGAAGAGGTGGTGGCAGTTAAGCCACCACTTGGAATGCCCACACCCCATATCAGAGTGTCAGGGTTTGAGTTATGACTATACTCCCAATTCCAGCTTCCTGCTATGTGCAGCCATGAAGGTAACAGTTGATGTCTCAAGTAGATGGAGTCCTAGATTGAGTTATCAGCTCCTGTCTTCAGCCTTGTCCAGACCTGGCTGTTGTGGGCATTTAAGGAGTGCACTAACAATCCGGGGATCTCTGTCTACTTTAAAATTTTTTAAAGGGTATAGCCAAGAAAAAATATTAATTTAGGAAAAAACTAAATCCTCTCTATATGAAGAATGTTCAGAAATGAGAGATAAATTTAAAAGGAATCCCGTAGCCATACCTTCTCTACATCAGCCAGACCTTCCGTGTCAAGCAGAACTAGGGTGTGCTCGGGCTTCTCAGGATGAGGCACACACCACATCCAGATGCCCTTGGTGTGAGACTGCACGGTGGACCCAACTGAGAAGCCTGCAGAGAAGTGGAGATGTTGTAATAGAGGAGGGGCTCTGGAAACAGGGGGATTATCTTGATCACTGAAAAAGGATTTAGGGAAAGTAAGATGAGGAGACAGCAAAAAGCATAACCAGTATGGATCTGAATTAAAATAGAAGAATGGGAAAATAACAACAAATATCACAGGTAAGTAATTTGTTATTTAAAATAATAGCATGATACTAAAATTTTAATAGTTTATAATTATATGAATGGAAATTACTTCACTAATATCTCACTCTTTATACAGGGAACACAATGATGCTTTTTCCAAAAAAAAATGCTAGGGGCAAATAAATAAACGCAGTGTGAAGCATCAGGACAGACAGCTGCCCTTTGTCTCCCAGGAGATAAAAAGACCAGTGCCACACATTGGCTTTCAGTGCCCCTCCCCCTCCCCGCCTTTCTCCCTTCTCCTCCCCAGGCTGAGTGGTGACAGTGTGGGTGGACAGAGGAGACCCTCAGAGCACAGCTGTTGCCGCTCACCCTGCTTCTTCCCAGCCAGCTTGTTCATGAGGTAGGATTTGCCCGTGCGGTAGAGGCCCACGATAGCTACCACCACCACGGGCTGCGTAACAGCCGACAGGATCTGCACGGCCTCCTCATTGACCATGAACTGCTCACTGGTGTTCTCAATGAGGCACATGGGTTCTGCCATGAGGATCTCCGAGGCCATGTCCAGGACGTTACTTTGTCTGCAAGGGAAGAGATGAGCTGGGCCGGAATATCTAGTGTTTAAACCGAGAAAATCATTTTGTCTACTGAACCTGGGCATATGCTCCCCCAGCATGGCCTGTTGCTGAAGAATTTTCTGAAAGCTGAAAATAGCTTAGCAAATGTGGGTTGCAGTAGAACACTACATCCTTCATACTCTTGACCACCCTATTGGCTCCTAGCTATTTGGTAGACACAGGGAAATCCCCATCTTGAGTCTAACCTGTTACTGGTTTGAATATAATACATATTCCAATAGGGTTTGGCTTCCTTATGCTTCTTTGCTTTTACCTCCTTGAATCCTTAGTTTGGTTCTTCATCATCATTATTTGTTAAATAACACTTGTTGCTTTTACTCCATGTCAGCTTACTTTTCTCTTACTTCTATGCCCAGACGAACTATATTACATTAAGTAATGCCATAGTATCATCTAACAAACCAGTTTTGTTTTGTTTTTGTTTTTGTTTTACTTCATAGAGCTGGGCTGTTTAAAGAATTTTTACATATTTATCAGTGTACTTTGTTAAGCCCAAACTTCAAAGCATAATCACATTATAATTAGCTAAGTGACTAAAAAATTTGTTTGTTAACTTTGGGCATCAATTCCTGTAACCTAAAAATCTGTAGTAAAACATTATTAAACTGTATGACACACAAGCAGATACTTGTATTTCTGCCCTGCTTTGTCATAAAGAACAGGCCTCTTCCATTTTAGAAGTGATTATTTGGAGCTAGGGTTGTGGCACAGTGGATTAAACCATTGCTTATAACCCTGGCATCCCATATGGGAGCCAGTTTGAGTCCTAGCTGCTCCACTGCCAATGCAGCTCCCTGCTAATGACCTGGGAAAGCAGCAGAAGATGGCCCAAATGTTTGGGCCCTACACCTACATGGGAGACCCGGAAGTTCCCAGCTTCTGGCTTCAGTCTAGCCCAGGCCTAGCAGTTGTGGCTATTTGGGGAGTGAATTGGTAGATGGAAGATCTCCCTTTCTCTGTAACTCTGTCTTTCAAATAATTAAAAAATAAATAAATCCCCCAAAACACCAGACATGATTATTTACTAGAGAAATTAAAACTCATTATCTGCTAGACTTCATTATTCAGTGAAATTTTACCATAAGAAGTCTAGATTTCCCATGACTTTATTAACAGACTATACAACTTGTTTTTGTTTTGTTTTTACAATCATAAAGAACCATTGTCTTCCTCTCTTCTTAGCCACTGCCATAGAAATCATCTTTATGACAGAATGAGTGAAACAGAAACTGCTTGGGAGCAAAGACTAGGAGATTCATTGCAAATGGCATTGCACCAGGGCTTGGGAGTCAAGAAATGCAAGCCTGGGCCAGTGCCGCGGCTCACTATGCTAATCCTCCACCTTGCGGCGCTGGCACACTGGGTTCTAGTCCTGGTCGGGGCACTGGATTCTGTCCTGGTTGCCCCTCTTCCAGGCCAGCTCTCTTCTGTGGCCCAGGAGTGCAGTGGAGGATGGCCCAAGTGCTTGGGCCCTGCACCCCATGGGAGATCAGGATAAGTACCTGGCTTCTGCCATCGGATCAGCGTGGTGCGCCGGCCGCAGCGCGCCAGCGGCGGCGGCCATTGGAGGGTGAACCAATGGCAAAGGAAGACCTTTCTCTCTGTCTCTCTCTCACTGTCCACTCTGCCTGTCAAAAAAAAAAAAAAAAGAAAGAAAAAAAGAAAAGAAAGAAAGAAATGCAAGCCTGTCAAAAAGGCAATTCTTCAATGAATTTAGAGACTCAAAAGCCAAGACGCTTTTCTTTCTAATCCACTTCCAGTGTAATGCCGGTGCCTCATATTTGTAGAATTCTAGTTGCCTGACTTGCATATAGCTGGATTCACTCATTTTTAGATTAGAATATGGCAGGAAATTTACAGTGATGATCTTCAATAATTATGTGGAAAAACAGAAACACATAAGCCAAATTTATAAGCAGATATTGGGGCCTTACAAACTCTTGTGCTTTGAGTTGATGTCACTCATGGAGGAGAGAACGAACTTGTCTTAAGTTTTCAGACTTGTGAATAACATTAGTACTATGTATACATGCTAATAACAGTGTCATCGTAGGTTGTCCCCCAAGTGTTGCCTGGGTAGCATCTTTAATGCCTATAAAAGAACCAAATCTCTAAAACATCTTCAAAGATGCACTATATTCAATCCACATACGATGGCTGCTCTACCCTTAAAGCTCAATCAGTGATGTGCGCTCCGGCATGCAGTCTCCCTGTCTCTATTACAGCCCTATAACCTGTTGTAAATAAAAACAATGCAAGAACAACTGAAAACACATGTGAAAAAAATATACATTTTTGACTGTATAGTAGTAATTTAAATTTGATTTCCAATCTCAACCCAGCAACTCAGCTCTATCACGTATCACTCACCTCTCCAAGACTGTTTCATAAAAATTGAGATAAATACTTATTTACAGTGGTATAACCGCTATCTTAGAAACAACAGTTTTCTAAAGGAGAGAATAAAAGTACAAAATGGAAAGTACCTAGAAATGTTAAGAGAAAATGCATAGACGTGCTGGCAATGATGTTTCTAAGAGTAAACATTTCAGATTTCAGGAAACCTAGTTTAGATTTTATGCAGAAACAAAAGTTTTGTTCTTTTCTTTTTCTTTGTTTTGTGCTATTTTTGAATTGAATTTAGAACAAATGGAAAGTGATCTTATAAAGGAAATACATGGAAGCCAAACAAGTAGAAGATATATGAAGTTTGTGCCATAGAAAGAAATTCAAGGGAGAAGAGAGATCCAAAGAAGTGACCACAACCGCCTAACAGAAGTGAGGGGTCCCATCAGGCAACTTTTGAGTTGAAAGATTCATGCAGTGAGAGTGTTTGGCCCAAATATTATGCTGCAGGTTGGGACACCTGCATTCCATATTTTGTATAGCACCACTGCTCCAGATTTCAGCTTCCTCCTAATGCAGACCCTGGGAAGGAGCAATTGATGACTCAAGTACTTGGGTCCATGCAACCTGTCAGGAAGAACTGAACTGAGTTCCAGGCTCTTAGCTTCAGCCTGGTCCAGCTAGCTCAGTGATTGGGAGCATTCATTGAGTGAACTACTGGATGGGAGATCTCTCTGGTTCTTTTGTCTCTGTCTCTGTCTCTCAGACTTTCTGATAAATAAAAATACATAATTTTTAAAAAATACTCGTAATAGTAGAGGCAACAAAGTAGTAGACATAGAATAAAGCACAGTGGTAGTTAAGTAACTATTGCCAAGAAACAAAAACTAATTAGGGCTATTTCTAAAGGAAGAAATCCAACTTCAAAACACATGATTATGACTCAGAATACATGGCTGTTTTCATTAAACCTCTTAGTCATTTACAATTAATTTCAACTTTTTTCTTTCCTTTCCTTCCTGGGAACATGGAGGTCCTTCATATTAGCAAGCTATTTACATTGCATCTCATTCATCGCTCTCTCGAAAAAACAACTAGCATTTCACTTCAGACTTTAAGACTGCAGTTTGTACCAGCTTGATGGTATATGATCAAAGACAAAAAGTAACGTAAGTAGCCATCAGAATCCCCAAGAAGTCAGAAGAGCCAAATGAAGAAAAACAGTTTCAAGGGATTTCAAACTCAAACTAAATGGAATCTTGCATGTCTCTTTCCACCTTTGCCCAGTCTTACCTTAACTGTAGCAATAAAATCAACAGAAAGCAGAGAGCTTTCAGCAAAGGCAAGAAAGCTGCTTTGATGAGGACTTGGTAAGCAGCTGCTTCAACAAGAACTGGTAAATCTAACTCTGTACCCTAGTAGAGATGCTGATTTCTAATATAACTTCATTGCTACCCAACTCTGGGAAGTTCCATCCTCTTCCCAGCAACATCAGCAGACAGTTTAACATGAAGCAGTGAAACTGAAAGCGGGAAAGGCTTTTGGGAAATTCCCTGCAGGAAACTGCAACAGGGCAAACCCAGATGCACAGGATATGTTCTGGGTGTTGCCAAGTGGCAGGCTGGGGTGATTTGGTCTGATTTCCCAGAAATTCCATATTGTGACTGAACTTTGAGACCCTTGGCAATGTTTCCAAGTATATGACAATCTTACATAGCTTGAAATATGGTGGTATTTATCTCCAGTTTAAAATCAAGGAAGGAGGAAATCTCATAAAATTTTGGGGGTCTAATTTTCTGATATGTTCAGTAAACTTAGACAGGGTCAAGTTTATTGCTTTTCTAGTAGGCTCTGTAGCTGAGAATTTTACTCATATGAAAGGGTATATGTTTGGCATTTAATAAATGAATGATAACAAGGATACTATTAGGGCCGGTGTTGTGGCACAGCAGGTTTAGCTGCCTCCTACAATGCCAGTGTCCTGTATGGACATTTGTTCGAGTTCTGACTGACTTCTGATCCTGCCCTTGGGAAAAGTAACGAGGTGCCTGGGAAAGCAATGAAGATGGCCCAAGCATTTGCCACCCATATAGGAGACCCAGCTTGAAATCCAGGTTCTTGGCTTTTGCTTGACTTTTGCCAAGTCCCAGCCATTGTGGCCATCTGGGGAGTGAACCAGCAAGTGGAAGATCTCTCTGACTTTCTGTCTCTGTGTGTGTGGGTGGGAGGGTGTCTCCCTACCCCTCTGTAACTCTGCTTTTCAAATAAATATTTATAAAAAGATATTATTTACTAAACACTTGCTATACTCTCTGAATAGTACTCACTACTTTTTGTGAATTACCCTATATTAATCTCTCAACAAACAGATAACCTTGACTTTACAAAATCTAGGGCACAGAAAAATACAGTTAAGTTGTCCAAGATCACAAAGCTACTGCTAAATATATCTTAAGGTTAAAACTCAAGCACTTTATTCTAGTCCTACTGTATTTGCTGAGGGAATGATCATCATAGTCATCATAACATCTCAGCCTTTTTAGTGATTATATTCTAACTTGTAGACACTTCAAATATCTCACTTATTCTCACAACCATCCTACGAGACAGTTGGTTTTATCCTTATGTTACAATAAACAAAAGTGGACTTAGGCTGTGTTTCCTAAAGCTCTGTCCTTGAGACAAGAATTGAAGACCATGGGTTCTATCTGGAAGGTGACTGTAAGAGGTAAATTAAGGAAGTAGGAAAGTGAAAACTGGATAGGAAGGAAGCAAGTAAATAGAAGCACACCCAGCAGGTCTCTTTTCAGTCTTTATGCAGCCAGGCTGCCAACTTTTCAAATCTTTCATTGTATTTCACTTTGTACTGCCTGTAAATAATCTCTTTTGGGACCAGTTTGTGGCATCTCAGGTGAAGCCATCACTTGTGAAGCCAGCAGCACATATGGCTGCTCAACTTCCAATCCAGCTACCTACTAATGGCCTGGAAAAGCAGCAGAAGATGCCCCAAGTGTTTGGGACTCTGCACCAACATGGGATACCTGGAATAAGCTCCTGGCTCCTGGCTGCAGCCTGGCCCAGTGCTGGTCATGGGGGCAACCTGGGGAGTGAACCAGGGGATGGAAGATCCTTCTGTCTCTACCTCTCTCCTTCTCTCTCTGTAACTCTGAGTTAAACAAAAATCATATTTGGGGCTAGCTGTGGCTGAGCACGTAAATCCAACACCTATTGGTTGAACTCTTTAATTAACACACAATTATTCTTAGGTGTTTAAATTTAACTGAAAAGTGATCCCTGTTAAATATAAGAGTGGGAATAAGAGAGGGAGGAGATGTACAGTTTGGGACATGCTCAATCGGACTGTTAGACCCTCATAGTGAGGATGCTAACATGTCGACAGGCACACCCCAAAGACTCAGAGTCCAGACCAGCTGATGCAAAAGCAAGAGGATTTATTCGGCATCTGCGTAGACGGGCCTCCTGAACTCGGGAGTCCAGAGAGCGCCC